GACCACAGAGGAAATGTCAGGAGAAATTCAGAGCAACCTACCCAGAACCATAACACCATTGAACTCCTGAACTAACCTGGATCCACCTAATCCACATTTCTTGTGCAAGATAATTACAAGCCTTATCACTCAGCCACTATGTGTTGAATATTCCATTACTTGTGACAGAAAGCAATTCCAAATGACATTTCTCTTGCTATGTTGTAAATATTTATGTCTCTGTACAAGTTCCCACATTGAAATCCTCACCACTAATATAATGTTAACAGGATGTGAGGCCTTTGTATTTTGGTGCATAGGTCCTGAGAATGGAGCCCTCATGGATGAGATTAGTGCCCTTATAAAAGAGACCCTTGAGACCTCCCATCACGATGGAAGTCTAGCTCTGGCTGCTATGGCTCAGTGGATTGAGCACTGGACTGTGAACCAAAGGGTCACTGGTTTGATTCTGAGTCAGGGAACATGGCGGGGTTGCAGGCCAGGTCTCCAGTTGGGGGCAGGCAAGAGGCAACCACACATCGATGTTTCTCTCCGTCTCTCTTTCCCTCCCTTTACCTCTCTCTATAAATAAAATCTTAAAAAAATAGCAAAATGAAAAAAGAATCCAAAAAAATGAGGATACACTAAGGAGCTTCTGGGACATCTTCAAACATAACAACATTCAAATTATAGAGATGCCAGAAGGAGAAGAGAAAGAGCAAGAAACTGAGAACTTATTTGGGGACATAATGAAAGAAAAATTACTTAATTTGGTGAAGGAAATAGACATGCAAGTCTGGAAAGCACAGAGAATCCCAAACAAGATGGACCCAAAGAGGACCACAACAAGACATATCATAATTAAAATGCCAAAGATTAAAGATAAAGAGAGAATCTTAACAGCAGCAAGAGAAAAGCAGATAGTTACCTACAAAGGAGTTCCCATAAGACTGTTAGCTGATTTAGATTTAAATCAGCTAGCTGTTAGACTGTTAGCTGTTAGATTCAAAAGAAACTTTGCTTGCAATAAGGGACTGGCAGGAAATATTCAAAGTGATGAAAAGCAAGGACCTACATCCAGGATTACTTTATCCAGCAAAGCTATCATTCAGAATGGAAGGGCAGATAGTGTGCTAAAGGGCAGGCAAGGTAAAGCTAAAGAAGTTCATCATCACTAAGTCATTATTGAATGAAATGTTAAGGGGACTTACTTAAGGAAAAGATCAAAACTATGAACATTAAAATGGCAACAAATTCACAACTATCAACAACTGAATCTAAAAAAACAAACTAAGAAAACAACCTGAACCGGAACAGAAGCATAGATATGGAGATCACTTTGAGGGTTATCAGTTGGGAGGGGGAAGTGGGAGAATTGGAGAAAAGATGTAGGGATTAAGAAGTACAAATTAGTAGGTACAAAATAGACAGGGGGATGTCAAGAACAGAGTAAGAAATCGAATAGCCAAAGAACTTATATGCATGACCTATGGACATGAACTAAGGGAAGGGATGGCTAGAGGGAATGGGGTACTGGGTGGAGGGGGACAAAAGGGGAAAATTGAGACAACTGTAATAGCATAATCAATAAAATATATTTTTAAAAATGGTTTAGCCCTAGCTGGTGTGTGTCAGTGGATTGAGTGCTGGCCTGCAAACCAAAGAGTCGCCGGTTTGATTCCCAGTCAGGGCACATGCCTGGGTTGCAGGCTAGGTCCCTGGTGAGGGTGTGCAAGAGACAACCACACATTGATGTTTCTCTCCCTCTCTTACTCCCTCCCTTCCCCTCTCTCTAAAAATAAATAAAATAAAATCTTTTTAAAATAAATTAAAAGTGATTTAAAGAAAAGAGACCCTAGAGACTTTCCTAACCCCTTCCCCCATGTAAGAATACAGAGAGAACTCAGCAGTCTGCAACCCTCAAAGGGGCCTTCCCAGACCCTGACCATGCTGGTACCCTGATCTTGAACTTTCAGCCTCCATAAATATCTTTTTATTTATAGCCACTCAGTCTGTAGTGTCTTGTTATAGCAGCCCAAACAGAATTAAACCCATTGATGGCTCCTTTGGTCTTTGTTTTTCAACTGGATCATTCTTTGGAGCCCCAATCGAGTTTCATTTATGCAAAATACAGCTTTCCTTGTACCCATTTCTCCTCTCTAGCCTCTGTTCTTTCTTTTCTTCCATGAGCAAGTCTCTGTAAAAAGTGGACTATGTATGTCATTTGCATTTCTTCACTTGTTGCTTGTTCTTCGATCTTCTCTGCTTTCCCTCCCACTCCACTGAGTATTTTAATCTAGGCCACCAACAGCCTCCTAATTTTCAAATTGAATAGACACTTCTTCATCTTTTTTCTCTTTGAGCTTTCTATGCTTTTTGGCTTTGATAACCACTTCCGCCTCTGTGAAACCCCCTTCACCGGTAGCTTCTTTGACATCAATCAGTTCCCTTTTGACCTCCCTGGCTCCTCATTCTCTATTTCCTTCCTGAGAGTCTCCTTCTGTCTGTACCTCTTCAATGTTGGCTTCTTCAGGGTACTCTTCTGCCTCACTCTTCCCTTTTCTTTCCACACTTTCCTCCTAGGTGCTAACTTCCTACAGTTTCCAAGATTGAAGGCAGCTTTCTTGAGACTTGGGAATCTAGTTTAAACTCCTCACCTAAGCAGAGTTGAATCAGGGCTGCTCTAGTAAAATCTCTTTCCCAAAGTGGATGAAGCACTTAGTTGTGGATTGAGGTGTGTGCCCCTCAAAGATATGTTAAAGTCCTAACACCCAATACATGTGAATGTGACCTTATTTGACCATAGGGTCTTTGTAGATGTAATCTTGTCAAGATGAAGTCACTTCTATGAGCCTTAATCTAATAGGACTGGTGAATTTATAAGAAAATGAGACACAGACACATGGACAATGCCCTGTGATGACAGAGGCAGAGACTGGAGTGATGCCACCACAAACCAAAGAATGCTTAGGACTGATGGCCACCACGAGAAGCTGGAGCCAGGAAGGATACTCTCCTACAGGTTTCAGAGGGATCATGGCTCTGCTGACCCCTGGATGATGGGTTTCTAGCCTCTTAAACTGTGAGACAGCAAACTTCTGTTGTTTTTAGCCACCTGGTTGGTGGTACTTTGTTACAGCAATGCCAGGAAACAGATATGTATTTCCTCCATTGTCTGCAGCTACTTAGCTAACCGACTATTTATACCTTGTAATTTCTTTTGTCTTAAAATTTTGCCTTCGACCTTCTCCTGGTTCAGGCATTTTTGGACTTTCAAATATCATAGACCAGTTCTGTTTGTTTAATTTAAGTATCTACATTGGGTTTTCAACGTTTAAATTTTGCACTTCATCCTTGAAAACATTTTTTAAATAAAAATAACCTATCATCTACTTAAAACATCATTCGTAAAAGTCAGGACATTTTAACACTGAACTCTCGGAATAAAATACAGTTCCTCGTATATCTTTGTATTATGAAAAACTCATTGCTTTATCCCAACTTCTTCAGTTTGGTTTCAGATACATAAAACTTTGTAACAGAAACATTTAAGAGCCCATGTTAAGTAGATGACAAAGAAAAATATTAATATATAAATATTCATACCTTTCTTTGTTTCCAGCCATCTTCCCCCCCTTCCTTCCCAAAATTTCTTTGTGTATATTTGCAATTGGGGTAAAAGTGAGAGGAAGAACTTGAGAAGCAGGAGCTGAAAAGAATAGTGAGATTAAAAAATGAAAAGAAGAATGTAGAGAATCACCCATCAACAGAAAGTTTAGGTAGATGAAAAGGTGTAGAGGCATGCTTGGGTTTGAGGGAGGTGGGGAAGGGGATTGACCTTGGCCTAGGAGACAAATTGCAAATGATGGAATATGAAGAAAAAGGAATTTTGGAAAATTTTAAGTATGTTTGTGTGTATTCCTCCTTCTTGAGGGTGTGAGATAGGATTTAAATTTTTTTTTTTTTTCATGCTGCCTGGTATCTCTTTGAGTGTGACTCTGTAGGGCCAGATTACAAGGCAGCAGAGCCTTGTAAGGGTTACATATAGTTGTGATCAGAGGCGGTGCTGTGGTTAAGGGTAGGAGCTCTGGAACCAGAAGCCCCAAGTTTGAATCCCGCTCCCAGTCGTTTTCTGCTCTGTGCCCAGGGGACAAGTACTTCACTTCCCTGTGCTTCACTTCAGCACCCACAAAAAGGAGGTAACAGTAACTACTTCACTGGATTGTTGGGAGGATCAAATGAATTAATACGGCTAAGGTAATTAGGACAGTGGTTGACAACAGAAGATGCTTAAGTGTAATAGAACAGTAATCTGTATATAACGTCACCAGCTTACACAAAGCAAACAAAAAAAAGCGTGCGCCTCTGGCCGTTCCTAAATTTCTTGGCGTGTCACCTCGCAAACCTGATCGGCCTGATTCGCCTCAGCAGGCTCAGCTCCGATCTTCCTTCGGGTGTTCTTAGTGCAGCCCTCCGGGTCGTGGTATCCTGGTTCAACCTCCCTCTCTCTCCGGCATTCGCGGGCATCCTCCAGGCCCGGGCGCTCACGTCACCTCCTCCGCCAAGACACGTTCCTCTCCCCTCCCAGCTTCCCCGCACTTCCAACTTCTACGCCAGCTTTTCACCCCTGGTGAAAAGGATCTGACTCTCCCGCACTTCATAGATGCTCAAAGTGACCGTAAAGTAAAACGCCGTATCTTCTCTCGCAAATACCAAACGGGGGGCTCTGCGTGGGGAAGGAGACTTGGTAGGTAGGAAAGGTGCTTTCACCCCAAAGCCGTTGCTAAGGTCACCCAAAAACACGTTGCCAAGGGTACCCAGACCAGCCCGGTCGCGGGTGGGATTGGGGCGGGGCTCCCCGGCCAGGACCCCTCGGCTCCCCGAAGGCCCCCGGCCCGGTCGCGGGTGACCGCGGTCACGTGACAGCACCCCCCACCCCCGCGCACAGCTGGAGGCGGGTCCCCGCCCTCCCCCGGGAGCCGAGGCGCCGGAGAGGGCGCGCTGCATTGTGGGCAGAGGGGCGGGGGTTGGGAAGATGGCGGCTCCCAGCCTCCTCAACTGGAGGCGGGTTTCTTCCTTCACGGGGCCGGTCCCCCGTGCCCGGCACGGACACCGGGCCGTGGCCATCCGGGAGTTGATGATCATCTTCGGTGGGGGCAACGAGGGCATCGCGGACGAGCTTCACGTCTACAACACGGGTAGGCGCGGCGGCGGCTCTTCGGCCCCGCCTGTGAGAGCCGCGGCGGGGGGAGGGGAGGCGAGGCGGCGGCCCCGGCCCTGACAGCTGTCACCGCCGGGTCAGTGCCTCCTCCCGCGGGCGGCGAGGGGCGCGGCTCGGCCCGGCCAGGCGGCCCCGGTCCCGCAGTGTCCAGAGTGGCAGCTCCGTTTCCCGGTGCCCACGGGGCGGCACCGGACCCCGAACGGGGCGCGCCGGCCCTCTAGCGAGCGGTCCTGAACCAGTCTTCACCCCCACCCCCCGCCTCCCGCCCCAGCCCTGGCGGACGTCGGCGCACGAGAGACTCCAACTGCCTGGGCCTCTGCCCAGTGTCTCGCCCACCCCAGGGCTCCGAGATCCCTCTCCTGTCAAAAACCCAAACCAACTCCAAACCAGAGCTGCTCCGGACCTCTGCCGTCTTTGCCTGCTCTCCTTCCTTAGGAGAAAGAGAATCTAAGGGCTGGGGTGCCGAGGAAAAATGAGAGGCCTCTAGTACTTTCACCCCAAATACAGCCTGGTCTCTGGCAGGTGGCAGTTCGGATTTTTTACCCCCCTTGGTAATCCTCTTAACTGTCGGGGAAGTGGTCGGAGAGGGAGACCGGCGCCAGTTCTTTGCACTGTTGGTTGGGTGCGTGCGCCGCAGCGCAGCCGTGCGGCGCTCGGAAAGCGGGCTGTCAGCTTGAGCACCTCTGCACATCCTAAGTGCCCCTCGCCGGCCAGGCCCGTCTTTGAGTACCTCCGTAGATTTAGAAAGGAAGCTGGAATTTGTTTTTTCCCTCTTTTAAATGCGCCAGCCGTCGTGAGAGAGTTGTTTCCGTGGTGTAAGGGTAATTTCTGAATTTTGGGTCTGTACTGTAATAAGTTTTCTTTGACCCAACAACTTGATCATGGGGGTCATTTAAAGGTTATTAAAATAGTAGAGTAGGGGAAATTTTATTTTTACACTCTCTCCTCCTCCTGGCACCCCACCATATAAAGTTTAAAAGTTATTTGACAGTTTAGTATGGTATAAAACCCTAGCTTTGGAATAAGTTAGGTCTGGCTTGCAGTTTGCTCTTCCAGTTGCCCAGGATCAGTTGGGTCAGGTTTTTCATTGGTAAAATGGAGATGGTGATATCAAGCCTAGTTTTTGTAAGCACTGAACGATATAGATCAGGGTTTTTCAACCACAGTGCTGTTGACACTTGAACCAGAGGATTCTTTGTTGAAGGGGGCTAATTGCGAGTTTCACAGGGTCTCTAGCCTCTACCCACTGGTAGCCAGCAGCACTATCCCTCCTCCCTCCAGTTGTAACAACTAAAAAATTTTAGTTTGCCCCCAGAGGGCAAAATCATCCCCAATTAAGAACCACTGATATAGTTGATACATACAAAGTGCATACTCATAGTTTGTGATAACTGCTTATTATAATTACTTTCCATTTTATTTTGGCGACTAGTTACAAATCAGTGGTTCCTACCAGCTGTTAGAGGAGACATCCCTCCAGGCTGTGCAGCCCATGGATTTGTCTGCGATGGTACCAGAATTTTGGTATTTGGGGGAATGGTTGAATATGGAAGATACAGCAATGAGTTATATGAGTTACAAGTAAGTGTGTTTCTGATTTATTATTTCAGTCTAAAGCTGTAGTAATGATATTGCTTATGATTGTTTAAAAGATTGCAGAATATTCCATTAGTATATTTAAGCTCATATGAGCTTTACCTTTTGTAGTTTAAAAGAAGTTGTTTCCACTTCACTAAAAAACTAGTTCCTAAAATAAGTCTTTTTCTAATACCCAGTGGAACATTTGTGTCATTAAGGTATCTGCTACTTAGCATCATTGTAACTGTTAAATGTTTAGGCTTTTGTATTTTAGTGCAATTCTTCAACTTCAGTCTGCAGAAGAAGTACCTGGAGGGCTTTTGAAAAGAGATATCTCGCCCCTGCCTCTGCGTCCAGAGTTTCTGAATCAATACTGTCTGTGGTGGGGCCTCGCCATTTGCATTCCTAGGAAGTTCCCACCTGCTGCTGCAGGTCCCCAGACAGTACTTTGAAAACCTCTGTCTTGGTTATAGAAATTTTTACCCTAACACTAATGATCTTTTTTTTTTTTTTTGGCAATACATACAAAAGAGGAATAGCAGTTTTACATATCTTGTCTAATTCTGACTCTCTGTGAACTCAGTCTCAGTCAGAGCCCTCCGCGACAGCCCTCATTGACTTGCGCATGTGTTCTCAGGGCCAGGATCGTGCAGGCAGCAGGTGATTCCCAGTTGCAGGTGGATTATGCTTATTATAAGCAACTCACTTTAAAAAATGGTTTTAGATAAAGAGAGCATGTATAGCTAGAGAATACATTTTGGAGTTTGGTTTGTTAAATGATTTTTATGCTTATAAAGGTTAAAATATATACTATTAATGGTTACCTAATTTCAGAAAGTAAGACTATATAAATTACATTTAATCTTGAAGCTACATACAATATTTACTTTTTCATTCGGAAAATATTTTAGGACTGTTAGTATTTATCATTTTAAGCTTAGTTTACCATTGTGGAAAGTTGTGAATATGGGAGACTAGACTGAATTTCCATTGGAACATTTATTTTAATTCCAGAAGTTACCTGCTTAATTGTCATTTGTCCGCAAAGTGCCTTTTTGGAGCCTTCCGACTAGACTCAGTTGCCAATGTATTAGTGTAATGTTACATTATTGGCAATATAGGAATGCTTACCTGGTTTTGTCTGAGTGTATTTATGCTCTTTTTTAGGCAAGTCGTTGGTTATGGAAAAAAGTGAAGCCCCATCCCCCTTCTTCTGGTTTACCTCCTTGTCCTCGGCTTGGACACAGCTTTTCTTTGTACGGTAACAAATGCTATTTGTTTGGTGGCTTGGCAAATGAAAGTGAAGATTCAAACAACAATGTGCCCAGGTATGCTGACCCCTTTTCAGACCAAATGCTTATTTTATGATTTAGATTAAGAACATTTCATCTCTTTCATCTTTAATTACTAAAATGGGTGAAGTTTAGCCTCTTTTGGTTTTAAATTTTACAGAGATAAAGATTTGTGTGCACTTGTGTTCTCCTTAGTCCCTGGAATAAATGTTTTCAAGATTATGCTCTTTCTAATCAAATATCTTTATTCAATTGATACTAATATAACTGCTTATACCAAAATATTTATATCTTTTGAGACTACTAATGTATTTTAATTGTCATAACTGAACATGAAAAGTAGTAAATGGTTATTTTAAAATTTGGTTTCTCTGGGAATTTGATGACAAAAATCTGACTATAAAATGAAGGCCCTGCTGTGACCAGTGTGGCTCAGTTGGTCGGGCATCATCCCACAAAGCGAAAGGTCACCGGTTTGGTTCCCATCTGGGCACATGCCTGGGTTGTGGGTTCAGTGCCCTTAGTGAGCACGTACAAGAGGCAGCCAACTGATGTTTCTCTCTCATGTTGATGTTTCTCTCCCTCTCTTTCTCCCTCCCTCCCCCTCTCTCTAAAAGTAAGTAAATAAAATCTTTTTTAAAAAATGAAGGCCCTCATTTCCATTTTTCCGACAGAAAGCTATTAGAGTGGTTCACACAAGCAACTACTTTTTGAACCAACTCTTTCTTCCTTTTTCCAAACAATTCATTACTACCCTTTTTTCTTTTCATGTAGTATTTTGATCACATTGTCATGGCCCTCGAGATTTTGAGATTTAGAGTTCAAAGGCTGCTTTCTGATTTACCGCTTACTGTGTATGTCCTTCAGTAGATGTAACCTAAACCCATTTTCCTTCACCGAAATTGGAGTGATTAGATACCTACCTTTTACTGTCATTGTAATAACTAAATAAGATTGTTGGCATAATTTTCAAAGCACTTTGAGGTTGCCACCAGTATTGTAGTATTGCCACCAGTATTATGACCGCAATATGGTGTCTTTTTACTACATTAAATTAATGTTTCTTTTTTTTTTTTTCAAACTTTTAAAAATAGCATTTACTAAGCCCTGGCTCTTGTGGCTCAGTGGATTGAGTGCTGGCCTGCGAACCAAAGGGTTGCTGATTCGATTCCCAGGCAGGGCACGTCTCGGTTGGGGGCATGTAGAGGCCACCACACATTGATATTTTTCTCTCTCTCTTTCTCTCCCCCTCCCCCTCTCTCTAAAAATAAATAAATAAAAATTTAAAAATGATGTAGAATAATTATTACAACTTATTTTTAAAAATAACATTTAAACATGGGCAGTTTGGACACTGGAGAAGAAAAAATTTTATCCTACCACACTAATACAGACGCTAATACTAAAGACATACTAATGCTTTCGCGTGCCTTTTTTGTTTTTCCATTCACAGATTTTTTTAGATAGAGACTCATAAAAATTAGAAAGTATATAAAGTTCTTTCTCACAGCATCACTATCCCCCACATAAGCAAACACATAATTCAATTCGATGTGTAACTTTTGGGCCCTTTTTCATGTAACACATTGAGTCAGCCTTTCTTAGGTTATTTTATGTAATTGGAAAGCTTCTCAAGTTTCTGCTACTTGAGGGTACAAAAAGATACATGCACTGCTTTTTAAAGCCGCTGATTAAAGCTAGTACATTGATTTCTGTTCACATGCCATTGGTCTAAGCAAGCCATAAAGCCAAGCCCTCAGTAATGATCAAGGGATGTATGTTTTGCTTATTGAGAGAGGAGAGTTGGGAACATTAATCTGATCCTATACAGACATATATTTTCTTTTGCTGAAGTGGGGTCTATTTTCGTTTGGTGACTTCAGGTGTTCACTTGTTTGTTTTCGTTCTTTTCCTTTAAAGATATATCTTGGAGCTCTTTTCGTGGCAGTAGGTATATATTGATCTTATTTTTTTAAAGGCTGAAAAATAGTCTGAATTATGCAAATTATGTAACCATTCCCCTAGTGATGGACATTTAAATATTTTTATTTGTTTTGCTATTAAAGTCTTTGCGCATATATAAATTTATTTATTTATTTATTTATTTATAAAGATTTTTATTTATTTTTAGAGGGAGGGGAAGGGGGAATGAAAGAGAGGGAGAGAAACATCAATGTGTGGTTGCCTGTACTGTGCCCCCCTCCAAGGACCTAGCCTGCAACCCATATGTGTGCCTTGACTGGGAATCGAACCAGCGACCCTCTGGTTTGCGGGCTGGCACTCAGTCCAGTGAGCCACACCGGTCAGTGGGCAAATGTATAAAAATTTTTATGAGATTGATACGTAATAAGTGGAATTTGGGACAATGTCAAAGGGTATTTACATTTAAGTTTGTTAGGTACTCCTGAATCAACGTCCAAAGACAGGCAACCAATTATATTCCTAATAACAGTGTATGAGAGAGCTTATACCCTTGGCAGTCCTGAATATCACTCTTCTTAGTGCTAATAGAAGAATATATGTCATGGACTTATTTTGATATTTTTTAAAGTATATTTTATTGATTATGCCATTACAGTTGTCCCATTTGTTTCCTCCACTTTATCCCCCTGTGCTCGGCACCTCCTGCCGCCTGCCTGCATCCCCCACCCTTAGTTCATGTCCATGGGTCATGCATATCCGTTCTTTGGCTTCTCTGTTTCCTATGCTATTCTTTTTTTTTTTGAAAGTTGGTTTTTGTTTTTTTTCTTAAGATTTTATTTATTTATCTTTAGAGAGGAAGGGAAGGAGAGAACGAGAGACACATCAATGTGTAGTTGCCTCTCATGAGTCCCCTGCCAGGAACTGGCCTGCAACCCAGGCATGTGCCCTGACTGGGAATTGAACCGCAATCATGTGGTTTCGCAGGCCTGCCCTCAATCCACTGAGCTATGCCAGCCAGGGCTTCCTATGCTATTTTTAACCTCTTGCTGTCTATCTTGTAGCTACCAATTATGCTTCTTATTCCCTGTACCTTTTCCCCCATTCTCCCCGCTTCCCCTCCTTGCTGATAACCTCCATGTGATCTCCATTTCTGTGATTCTGTTCCTGTTCTATTTGTTTTCTTTAGGTTTAGTTTTTGGTAGTTTTGAGTTTGTTATCATTTTGCTGTTCATACTTTTGATCATCTTCTTTTTCTTCGATGAGTTCTTTTGACATTTTATATAATAAGGGCTTAGTAATGATGAACTCCTTCAACTTTACCTTCTCTGGGAAGCACTTTGTCTGCCCTTCCATTCTAAATGATAGCTTGGCTAGATAGAGTAATCCTGAATGTAGGCCCTTGCTTTTCATGACTTTGAGTACTTCTTTCTAGCCCCTTCTAGCCTGTAAGGTTTCTTTTGAGAAATCAGCTGATAGTCTTACAGGAACTCCTTTGTAGGTAAGTCTCTCCTTTTTTCTTGCTGCATTTAAGATTCTTTCCTTATCTTTAATCTTGGGTAATTTAATTATAATGTTTCTTGGTGTGTTCCTCCTTGAGTTCAACTTCTTTGGGACTCTCTGAGCTTTCTAGACTTGCATGTCTATTTCTTTCTCCAGGTTGGGGAAGTTTTTCTTCATTATTGTTTCAAATAAGTTTTAATTTTCTTACTCTTCCTCCTCTCTTTCTGACACCCCAATGATTTGGATGTTGGAACATTTAAAGATGTCCTGGAGGTTCCTAAGCCTCTCCTCATTTTTTTGAATTCTTGTTTTTCCATTCTTTTCTGTTTGGTTGTCTCCTTCTTCCTTCTGGTCCACTCCATTGATTTGAGTCCCACTTTTCTTCCCATCACTATAGGTTCCCTGTGCATTTTCTTTCATTTCACTTAGCATAGCCTTCATTTTTTCATCTAATTTGTGATCAAATTCAACCAATTCTGTGAGCCTCCTGATCACCAGTGCTTTGAACTGAGCATCTGATAGGTTAGCTATCTCTTCGTTACTTAGTTGTATTTGCTCTGGAGCTTTGATCTGCTCTTCCATTTGGGCCATTTTTGTTTTTAGTCTTGTTGCACCTGTAACATATGAGGGGCAGAGCCTTAGGTGTTCACCAGGGCGGGACAACCCATGTCACTGAGTTGTGACACTGTATGTGGGGGTGGATCCGAGAGGGAACACTGGCTTTGCTCTCTGTCGGATTTCAGTCCCTTCCACGCTTCCCCCAAGCAAACTGGGCCTTTCTGGTGCTGATTTCCAGGTGGGTGGGTTTGTGTATGTTCTAGGCCTCTGTGGGTCTCTCCAATGAACTCTCCTGTGAGACTGGGAGTTTCTCCTAGCACTTCACCCCCCACAGGTGTTTTTTCGGTGTTTTGAGGCTTTATTTCCCTGGGCTGACACCCTGGGTTACAAAGTCTGTCTCGCTCCCCAGTTTTGCCTGGTTTATCTGCGTGCAAATGTGGGACTACCTGGTCAGTCAGCTGCCTTGCGTGCCATGCACAGCTTCACAATCACCGCCTCGCTGGGTCAGCTTGTTGCCACTCCGTGCCCAAGGTCCTCCTGCTGCCAACTTATGCACCCGCTGCCAACTTGAGCGCTCGGTGCCACCACTTTTTTTTTCCACAACCCCTCGGTACTCAGCTGCCCAGCTCCACCCCTCCTACCGGTCTAAATGAATGTGTCTATTTTAACTCCTTGGTTGTCGGACTTCCATATGGTTCAATTTTTGGTCAGTTCTGGTGGTTATTTTGTTTCTAAATTGTTGTTGTCCTTATTTTGGTTGTGTGAGGAGGCACAGTGTGTCTACCTATGCCTCCATTTTGGCCGGAAGTCTGTATATTTTTCTTTATTTCAGTTTGCATAGCCTTTACTTCCTCTATTTTGTGAGCATCCTGATTACCAGTGTTTTGAACCCTGCCTGCATCTGATAGGTTGGCTATCTTCTCGTTGTTTAGGGTTTTTTTCTGGAGCTTTGATCTGTTCTTTCATTTGGGCCATATTTCTTTGTCTTGGCACACCTGTTATGTCATAAAGGGTGGAGCCCTGGGTATTTGCCAAGGCAGGGCAACCCACTTCACTGTGTTCTGGTCTGTATGTGGTAGAGGGGTCACAAAGGGAACAATGCTGCTGCTTGGCTTTTACCCTGCTTTCACCCTGCTTTCAGTCACTTTCCCTACTACCCACAAGTGGATTGGGCTCTTCTGATGCTGATTCATTGGTGGGTGGGTTTGCATACATTCTAGGACCCTGTGGGCCTCTCCAACATACTCTTCTGTGAAATTGGGAGTTTCTCCTGCCACTGAACACCCACAAGTTTTTACAGCCAGAGGTTTTTGAGGCTTTAGTTTCCCATGCAAGAATCCTGGTTTGTGCAGTCTCACTCCCCAGTTATTCTTCCTGGCTTATCTGCACTCGAATGTGGGACCCCGCTCCCCCAACCACCTCCTCTGCCAGCCATCACCTTGCTGCGTGCCCATCTTTGCCCCTCCTACCAGTCTGGATGAATGTTTCTTCTTTAACTTCTTGGTTGTTGGACTTCCATACAGCTTGATTTTCTGGTAGTTCTGGTTGTTTTTTGTTTTTAATTGGTTGTTATCCTCCTTTTGGTTGTGTGAAGAAGTGAAGCGTTATCTACCTACACCTCTGTCTTGGCTGGAAGTCCCTATTTTGGTATTTTTATTGATGAAACTAGGAATGAACTTTATTAATGGCTTATTGGACATTTGCAATTCCTGTTTTGAAATTGTGTGTTTATATCATTCATTTTTCTTTTTAAAAATTGAGGTATAGCCTTGACCAGGTGGCTCAGTTGGTTAGAGTGTCATCCCATACACCAAAAGGTTGTGGGTTCAATTCCCAATTAGGGCGCATACATAGGTTGTGGGTTCAATCCCCAGTCAGGGCGTGTGTGAGATGCAACTGATGGATGTTTCTCTCTCACATCGTTATTTCTCTCTCTCTCTCTCTTCTTTTTTCTCTAAAATCAATAAACATATTCTTGGGTGAGGGTTAGAAAAAATTGAAGTATAAATTACACACCATAAAATTCAACCTTTTTATATGTACAATTCAATGATTTTTAGTAGATTTATAGTGTTTTTTAACCATCACTACAATTTAGTTTTAGAATATGTCCATCACTCCCAAAAGAAATTGCTTATTCCTTTGCAGTCAGTCCTCATTCCCATCCAGATCACCAGGCAAACATTAATCTACTTTTCATCTCCACAGATTAGCCTTTTCTGGATATTTCATACAAGTATGATTTTTTGCATTTATCTTCTTTCACTTAGTGTAATGTTTTCGAGGATTCAGTCATGTTGTAGGATGTAACAATGTTCCTTCCTTTTTATTGTTGAATAGGTATGTCATTGCATGGATATACTATATTTGTTTATCCATTCATCAGTTGATGGACATTTAGATTGTTCCTCGTTGTTGGCTTTTATGAATAATGCTGCTATGAACATTTGCATACAAGTCTTTGTATGGACATGTATTCATTTCTCTTGATTAGAAACCTAGCAGTAGAATTACTGGTCAAATTTATGTTTAACTCTTTAAGAACTACCAAACTATTTTCTAAAGTGACCGTACCATTTTGCATTCCCACCAACAATGTATGAAGCTACTAATTTCTTCACATCCTTGCTAACACTTGTCATTGCCTGTTTTAATTATTATTTTAGAGAGAGAGGAAGAGAACAGGGAGAGAGACAGAGAGAAAAACATTGATTTGTTGTTCCACTTATTTATGCATTCATTGGTTGATTCCTATATGTGCCCTGACCAGGGATCGAACCTGCAACTTTGTCATATCAGGATGACACTAACCAATTGAGCTACCTTCATACTTGAGTAGTCATTTCAGAGGAAATAAATTTCTGTAAATACCATTTTGCTGAAAAAATTGAAAACATGTCACAGATGAGAAGTTTATGCCAGTTTCTAGAGTAAAAACAAATGTAGGACATTGTTATAATAGTACAGTGACATTTTAAAACAAAAGAGAATTTGCAAAACAGCATTTGCAGTATGCCTCATTTATACATATGTAGATATTCATAGTGATTTTTCTGATTAACTTGTACCACGTAATAAACCTCCCCACAAGTTAGTGATCCAAAAAACCATTTGATTATGCTCATGGATTCTGTGTATTAGGGATCTGGACAGGACGAGGCGATGATGACCAGGCCCTCAGATGGAACGCACGAATGGTTGCATGACTGCACGTGTGGTCCCTCAGCTGAGGGCTGAGGGGTGGACTCACCTGGGACTGCCATTTTATGCGCCTACTGATGACTTCTCTAGATGGTGGTTTGGGGATAGTTGGACTTACATTTTGATTCAGGATTCCAGAGCGAAGCTACATGGGCCTTCTGTGACTCAGCCTCAGGAGCCACATAGTGTCACTTCATCATACTCACTAGTTGAGGCAGTCACGGGCCTGCCCAGAATCAAGGGAGAGAACATAGACCCTAATTCCTGATGGGAAGAGTGTCAGAGAATTTATGGCTATGTTTTGAAACCGTCAAGATTGCTTTTATCAACAAGAGTGTTGGCTAACTGATGGCAGAAATGTTTTAGATGTCTTCTGTTCTACTTACTCCCAGAAGAGTGCCTGACACACAGTAGTATTTGATAAATGCGTTGAATGAATGAGGTACAGGGTTTCTGCTCTTACAGTGCCTTTCTGCACTATATGAATTTTTCATAGTATATATTAACTTTATAGATAGAAGCAAATAAAATGTATATATTATGCTAGTGTTTTTGTTTCTTTCATATCTTAGGTATTTAAATGATTTCTATGAGTTGGAACTACAGCACGGTTCTGGTGTTGTGGGTTGGAGCATTCCAGTGACTAAAGGGACGGTGCCTTCTCCAAGAGAATCCCACACAGCTGTTATATATTGCAGAAAAGATTCTGGGAGCCCTAAAATGTACGTTTTTGGTGGAATGTGTGGTGCTCGCCTGGACGACCTATGGCAACTTGACTTAGGTAAGCTTAACTTGATTCAGGCTCAGGAATTGCTTAGGATTAATAAATGCAAATATAAAAATTCTTTGAAAAATATTTTTATATAGTATTTATTGAGTTGAACTTAGGTTTATAACTAGTACTTGAAGCCATCACCGGGGCAGCTGGGGTATGTATGATAAGAGTGGTTGCTGGTCAACCAGCGATTGCTGGTCGAACAAATGAGTGTTTTATGACAGTAACTCCTTTGTACTTCCTATAAGTAGGACCACCATATGTCCTGGTTTGCTTCCGAGGGTCCTGGCTCATGCTTATTGTCCCATATAATTATCAATGGTACCCACTGTCACTCTGTAAAGTGTCCCAGTCGGGGATCATCAAATTTATATGATTACTCTATCTACAGGAAATATAACATTAGTAATGTTATTACTGGTCAGTGAAAAACCCTTGAGTAGCTCTTTTTAAAGAAATCCTAGGAATGAATAATTAGAGAGTAGGCGTGCCTCTTACTTTTGACTGTCTTCTGCACAGTGTACTCTTACTTAAAATGTTAAAATCCTTAATTCAAATAAGTTCCCTTATTCGTGCAACTGGGCCAGAAGTAGAAGTATTGTTTAAATACTTCTCTATTTAGAGAGGTGTCAAAATACACCTCTCTATTACAAGTACTAACAATCAAGTGTAAATAGATTTCTGTGACTGGCAATTTATGTCAGTAGAAATGTTTATTTTAAACTGAAATTCAAGTAACAGTTTTGAAACATTTAGTAAGTCCTTTTGGGTTTAAATTGTTTAAATTCTGCAAGTTGAGATAGTTTGCTGCTATTAGATCAAGTTGATAATGTACTTATTTTTACTTTTAGAAACTATGTCATGGTCAAAACCAGAAACTAAAGGGACAGTGCCGCTTCCACGAAGCCTTCACACAGCCAGTGTTATAGGAAACAAGTATGGTGGTTTTTTGCTTTTACTTTGTTTTTAAACCAACTTAAAGATACACACAAAGAAGAGCGATGTTAGTATTTTCTTGGAAATATTAAATTTACTAATGTTTGATTGTGCTTACTGAAGCTAAAAAATATGCCTACAGAAGCTAAAATATTTACTGTGCCATTATCTTATCATGCTGCCTCACACTTTTTTACATTCCTTACAATGCCTTGCAGGAGTAGTAGGTATTACGTCAGTGTAAAACAGCGTTGTCAAGCTGACCTGTCCTCCATGGACAGGTTTGACATACCTCACCGCTTCGTTTTTTTTATCCTCACCTGAAGACATGCTTATTGACTTTAGAGAGAAGGGAAGGGAGGAAGAGAGGGAGCGAGAGAAACATGGATAGGTTGCCCCTCCTTCCCTAACCAGGAATCGAATCCATGACCTTATGGTTTACAGGGCAATGCTCCAACCTGCTGAGCCACACTGGCCAGCGCCTCACTGTTTCTTTTTACATGTTCTTGGTAGTGCTTCATTAGTACTCAGGTATGTACTCAATATACCTGAGTACTCAACGGTTACTCAATGGTTAAACTTTTGATGGAGTTACCCCTGTAACCAGATTGCCTGAATTCAGGAACTTTCAGCTTTGCTGTTTGTCTTGTGTGATCTGAGTCAAGAAACCTTAACTTGTCTGTATCTCAATTTCCTCAGTTAACAATCAAATCTACTTCACAAAGTGGTCATGAGGATTAAATGCATTAATACATATAAAATGCTTCGAGCAGCACCTGGTACCCAGAGAGCACTGATTACTGGTTAGCCATTACTATCATTAACAAGTTCCCTTATTTGTGCAACCCTGGGCCAGAAGTAGAAGTATTGTTTAAGTAGAACTTAATTAAGTATTTATTTGTGTAGGGGCTTTACCTTGAAAGTTATGTTTTAGGAAACAACTAACTGTAATTTAGAACCTCATTAGTTCTTTTTTTATTATAAATTTTATTTATTGGAGTGATAATGGTCAATAAAATTATATAGGTTTCAAGTACACAATTTTGTAATACATTATCTGTATATTGCATTGTGTGTTCACCACCCAAAGTCAAGCCTCCTTCTGTCACCATATTTATTAGTTCATTTTAAAACAATAGACAAAATACAGTGTTTTAGAAAACAACTAGTTGTAATTTAGAATCTCATTAATTCTTTTTAAAAAATAGAAATAAAATAGACATTTTTTAAAACAGCAGAACCCTTTTTTAAATATATTTTTTTACTTTATTGATTATGCCATTACATTTGTTCTATTCCCCCCTTCATTCCCCTCCACCCTGCACATCCCTGCCCACCATTCCCCCCCATTTAGTTCATGAACACGTGTCTCAAGTTCTTTAGATTCTATATTTCCCCAACTATTCTTACCCTCCCCCATCTATTTTCTATCTACTGTCTATGCTACTTACTTTCTGTACCTTCTACCCCCTTCTCCTTCTCCCACTCCCCTGTTGCTAACCCTCCACGTGATCTCCATTTCTATGGTTCACTCCTGATCTAGCTGTCCTCTTAATTTGCTTTTGTTTTAGGTGTGGTTGTTAATAACTGTGAGTTTGCTGTCCTTTCACTGTTCATCTTTTTTATCTTCTTTTTCTTAGTAAGTCCCTTTAACATTTCATATAATAAGGCCTTGGTGATGATGAACTCCTTGAATTTGATCTTATCTGAGAAGCACTTTATCTGTCCTTCCATTCTAAATGAAAGCTTTGCTGGATAGAGCAATCTTGGTTGTAGGTCTTTGGTTTTCATGACTTGGCATACTTCTTTCCAGCCACTTGCCTGTAAGGTCTCTTTTGAGAAATCCGCTGACAGTCTGATGGGAACTCCTTTGTAGGTGACTGTCCCCTTATCTCTTGCTGCTTCTAGGGTTCTCTCCTTCATTTAATCTTGGCTAATATAATGATGATGTGCCTTGGTGCGTTCCTTCTTGGGTCCAACTTCTTTGGGACTCTCTGAGCTTCCTGGATTTCCTGGAAGTCTATTTCCTTTGCCAGAATGGGGAAGTTCTCTTTTATTATTTGTTCAAATAAGTTTTCCACTCGTGACTGTTCCTCTTCCCCTTCTGGTACTCCTATAATTCGGACGTTGGAGCGTTTAAAGATGTCCTGGAGGTTCCTAAGCCTCTCCTCATTTTTTTGAATTCCTGTTTCTTCATATTTTTCTGTTTGGTCATTTTTTCCTTCCTTCTGGTCTGCTTCCTTGATTTGAGTCCCAGTTTCCTTTCCATTACTATTGGTTTCCTGTGCATTTCCCTTCATTTCAATTAGTTTAGCCTACATATGTTCCTCTAATTTGTGACTAAAATCAACCACTTCTGTGAGCATCCTGATCACCAGTGTTTTGAACTGTGCATCTGAAAGTTTAGCTATTTCTTCATCACTTAGATTTATCGGCTCTGGGGCTTTGAGTTGTTCTTGAGCCATGTTTTGATCTGTTTGTACCTGTTACGTATGAGGAGAGGCACCTTAGATGTTCACCAGGGCGGGGCCACCCAGGTTGCTGGTTTGTGACGCTGTATGTGGGGGCGGGGTCAGAGAGGGAGCAATGGCGGTCCTCCCCGCTGGCCTGGTCCGCCTCACTGCTCACCCCCACCTGTTTATCTGAGCACAAACGTGGGAGCCCACCACCCTGTGTCGGGGCCTGCGCAGTCAGTCTCAATGCTAGTTTATCTGCGTGCAGATAAATGCAACCGCAGACAGCCAGCCTCGCCTCTTCCCTGTGTCCGCTCATAGCTAGCCCACACCTGGGATCCGCGCCCTTGGCTGCCTGCATGCCATCCGGGTTCGGGGGATCTTTTTTGCTCGACCTGCTCTGCTGCTGGTTTCAGCCCTGTCACCGGTTTAGCTGAGTGTTTCGTTGTTTTCGGGCTCTGTATTTGATTTTCTGTGGTTTGATTGCGTTTATTGTTGTTAAAACTTTGTTCTTTTTAGATTTGGTTGTGCGAGGAGGCAAAGTGTTTTCACCTACGCCTCCATCTTGGCGGAAGTCCCAAACAGCAGAACCCTTTTATAAAATGCAGCTTTTCATTGGAATTCTAATATAAAAGCATAAAAATAGAGTTTCTCTTATTGGCTTGAGGTCACATGGGCCCCAAACTCTGTGGGATGAGCTTTTCTCCTTTAGTAGCCATTAGACATGTCTCAAAAACCCCTCAGGCCCTAAGAAAAAAGTTTGAAGTTTTTTTTTTTGAGTGATATCAAAATTATATGAAACTCAACCCTCTTTAGTTACTGCGTGCATACAATTCTGAATTAGACTTTGAATGTCTTGGATCATTTCAGTATCTTTCCGACTGAGATACCCTTAGTATATTACATGCAATATTAATTTTCAAAAGTATAATAATTGAAATGTCTCCCACTTTGAAGAACTTGCCAGAGAGAAATAATTTTGATCTTTATTGCTTCATAAAATTGTAAACTCTTAAAAGAAGTTTACTTCTTGAGCACTTCACTTGATTCATGATCTTGTTTCCATTACCTTGACATTGACAAGTGTCAGTTGATGTCAACAAAGAAGAAATTTAAGTCTATTATTAGCATTTTAAATCTAAAAAATAAAATTAAAGCTTTAGGAAAAAGATCAGCTACTTTACATTCTTTTTGTTTGTTTGTTTTTTAGGATGTACATTTTTGGTGGATGGGTTCCACATAAGGGGGAAAATATTGAGACTTCACCTCATGATAGTGAATGGAAATGTACCAGTTCATTTTCTTACCTAAATCTCGGTGAGTCTTTTAAGAGTTACTTATTGAAGTCGAACTTATTAACAAAATAATTTTTGTATTGTAGTTTAAGAATAGTAGGTTAATCTTGGATGTTTCTATCTTTTCAGATACAGCAGAGTGGACCACCCTAGTATCAGATTCTCAGGAAGATAAAAAAAATTCAAGACCAAGACCAAGAGCTGGGCACTGTGCTGTTGCAATTGGCACTCGATTATATTTTTGGAGTGGAAGAGATGGCTACAGAAAAGCACTAAATAGTCAGGTGTGCTGCAAGGATCTTTGGTATCTTGATACTGGTAGGTAAGATTATTTAACAGATACAGTTTTTCCTTTAGGTAAATAAATATTCAATTAATGTCCATCTTTTTAGATTTACTGTAAATGCCACTGCCTATCTTTTCCATAATTAAAAATGCATGGAAGAAATAATATATGTAGATACTTTCCACTCCAAGAGAGTTTCTTAATTTCTCTGTCCTTGAAGGCAGACTGGATTTAGTGACTCCCTTCTTTTTTTTTTTTAAGATTTTATTTATTTATTTTTAGAGTGAGGAGGGGAGGGGGAAAGAGAAGGAGAGAAACATCAATGTGTGGTTACCTCTCATGCTCCCCCAGCTGGGGAGCTGTCCTGAAACCCAGGCATGTGCTTTGTCTGGGAATAGGACTGGGAACCTTTTGGTTCCCAGGCTGGCACTCAGTTCACTGAGCCACACCAGCCAGGGCTAGTCACTTCCTTCTAAAGAAGAGAGCATGGGAAGGGGACAAAAATAGAATCTTGACAGAGGAGGAACCTGGCAAATAGCACTTTAATCAAGTAATCAGGGTTAATGTCACTAATGTTGATATCATTTACCCCTGCCTTCCATAGTGTGGGATAAAAACAAATTTCTCTTTTGTGATACTTTTTCCAAAAATCCATCACCCCACCCTAACTATGAGAACATATCAGACAAACCCAAATTGACAGACATTCTAGACATTGTACAGATTATGTGGACACTACTGTTCAAATTTTCAAAGTGCTGAAAAACAAGAAAAGACTGAGAAATAGTCACACATTGGAGGAGACTTAGGAGACATGATGACTGAATGCAAGCTGGCTCCTTCCTGGAACAAAAAAGACATTAATTGAAAATCCGGTGAAATCCCAATAGTCTATACTTAGTTAACTTCTTAGTTTTAACAAATGTGTTAGCATTAGAGGGAAATAGAGTAGAGGGTATTTGGGAATTCTTTGCAACTTTTCTATATCTAAGATTATTTCAAAATAAAGTATTTTTCAAAAACTTACAACACCAAGAAAATTTTTAAATATGGAACTCACATCTACTTTTTCAGTAAATATTTATTGATAGACAGCTGTGTATCGGGAATTATCCCAAATGTTAAAAATATAGCAGTGAATGAGACTGATAATGTTCCTGCTGTCAAAGAACTCTTATTCTAAAAGACTGTGAGGACAAGGAGATGACGGACAATAATGGAATTAACAAAGTAAGCTCAGTTTCTGGTCATCATGTGAAGACAGTAAGAGAGAACAATGAGATAGTAGTGGGGGTACTGGAAATGAAGGGGGCGGCTGCTTCAGAATGGGTCTCTAGGAAAGGATGAGATGGCATCTGGGGTGCACTCCAGATGGTGAGAAGATGCTAGTTACAGAAGAGGCTGGAGGAAAAGTGCAAGGGGGGTGAGTAAACAGCAAGTACAAGGGCCCCGAGGTGGGAATACTTGGCATGTTTGGGAGCAGATTGGAGCTGAGGAAAAGTGGGGAGGACAGCAATGGAGCTTGGAGAGGTGACAATAGGGCAGACAGGTCATGCAGGGCCTCCAACATCGTAGAAAAGTGTAAATTGTTTTTAAAGTGCAAGGTCAGTTATTTATCAGTTTGAAGGAGAAACATACCATGATCTATTGGATATTTTGAAATGGTCACTGCAGTTGCATGGAAAATGTGTTAGAGGGGTCAAAAGTGCACACGTGGGAGACAAGTTAGGAGGCTTTTGCAGTAGTCAAGACGTCTTAGACTGTAGTGGTGACAGTGGAACGAGGAGAAATGGATACATTCAGAATATATTTTGGAGTTGTGATTGCCAGAACTAGCTGATGAATTGGCTGTAGCAGATGACAGAACGAGGAGTGGAGGATGGAGTTGTTTTTTTTAAATACTCTCTTGAGGATATGCTTCATTGATTTTAGAGAGAGCAGAAGGGGGAGGGAGGGACAGAAAGAGAGAAATGGGAGAGAAATTGATGTGAGAAACATCAGTCAGTTGTCTCTCATACATGCTCTGACCAGGGATTGAACCAGCAATGTGGGTATATATGCTCTGATTGGAAATTGAACCTGGAGCCGTCTGCTGTGTGGGACGTCCTACCAACCAACTGAGCCACTCAGCCAGGGCAAGGATGTAGTTTCTAGTATGAAAAACTTGGTGGTATTTTCATTTACTGAGATGGGGAAGACTGATGAGTTCCATTTAGACCATGCTGAGACCATGAAATAACAATATCAAGTAGGCTGAGACCATGAAATAACAAGATCTGCTTTCTCTACTGGCCTCCAGTAGAGGCCTCCAGCAGAGGCCAGTAGAGAAGTCAGATCTGGAGGTGTAATATGTGTTGTAATATGAGAAAAGCGGATGATAAAACACACCCATGAGTCCAGGAGTTTTAAATGTATAAACTGAAAAATCTTGAAGGATGCACTGTGTATCAAAGTATTATCTAAGGGATGAAATTATACATTTTCTTAAAAGGTTTTCTCTTTTCTATTTTCTGCAATAGCATGCATTACTTTGGTAATGAAAAAACAGTTCAGTTTTTAAATTCACAATTGAAAAATAATAAATGGAACAAAGTTAGAGACTATGAAAGAAGCACATACTAGAAAGCAGGGAGGAAAATCCAAATTAATGATTCATCTTTGAAAGTGGGCATTAACTGAAGCCTAAGAATAAACTTCATCCTCTGAGACTGGAAGGAAAATGTGTACCTATAAGTTTTTCTCAGCAAATATGTCATTTTAAGCAGGTGCTGTAAGGGATATGTGACTTTTAAAAAGATGAAAGTCATTAGCTCTGAATGGCCATTTTTTTCCATAAATCTTTCTGTAAAAGGCATTAGACATGAATATTTACCTAAAAGTAATCATGGCCCCTATCACAAGGGCCATTTTGCTTTTTCTTTTGATAAGTTAGCATCAATTTTTGTGGGTGGGGAGTGAGGGCTCTTCATCTAGCCTTTTTTCACTTTTAGACTTTGTGCATTTGGTAATATTTAAAAGAGTAATATAATTCCATATTATGAATAGTGGTCTTTTGCCCCCACTCTTCTCCTGTTTTCCTTGCTTCACAAGCATCTGTTTTTAACTCCGTTAAACAATTTTTTGGTGTTTACTTGCATATCTACATGTAACATAAATAAATTGTTACTTCAATTTTTTTCAGTTTAGGCATAATATGCTCACTTTCTACTATGAAAGTTAAGGATTTATTTTTTCCCACTATTCCCTATTCTCTCAATATAACTACATCATAATTTTGTTAGATGAACATTCAGGGTTCACATCATGACTATATAAACACTGTTGGCAGATTAGCCATAGGGAAAACACTGTGAATACCTCCTTTGTACCATTTTTGATTTGTAATGGATTAATAATTGTCTCTTTTGTTTGTTTTAGATTTATATGTATTTACCTCTAACTCGATTCATACTCTGTTATTTGCTTGAACTTTCTTTCATTATGGTTAGATGCACAGATGTCCTATCAAATTTCACCATCTTGAAGAGATTTCTGCTGCTCCAGTGTAGGATGATTGCCCTCCACAAACTGAGCAGAGGGATCATCTTGGCGTCTCCCTCATCATCTTCCTGGGGATGTGTTTTGCCTCTCACTTATGCTGGATTCCTCCTTTCCTGCATCCCATATGTTTTTCCTTAGTTTACTTCCTCATTTTTTATGAAACACATCCCAAGAAAAGGGTGCATAGGTGACAAATTTATTTTGAAATCTTGCGTTGTTTAAAAATATTTCATTTTAGTTGGTGGTTAGCATGGAAATAGAATTCTGCATTAGAAGCCATTATCCTTAAGAATTTTGAGAACATTGTTATATTGTATTCAAGCTTCTAGTGTTTTTGTTGAAAAATCCAGACCACTTGTGATTTGGGGGTTCTTTTAAATGTAACCCTTCCCCTCACTCCTGATAGCTTTGAGGATTTTTTTTCTTTGTTCCCTTGTCCGTAACTTTCATGATGATGGGCCTGTTGTGTATCTATCGTGTTGAGTACTCAGTGGACCTTTTCAATTTTCTTGATTTCATTGATTTGCACCCTACTGTTTTCCCTATTCTTTCTTCATATAACTTCTGCTGTGTGGGTGGTATACCTCCTGTACTTGGCTTCTTATTGTCTGCTTTGTTCAGGTATGGGTTGCCTCACTTTGAGAAACATAAGTAAACTGGATTGCAAATAGAGACATGGAAGAATTTACATGGGGGTGTAAATTCTTGAAGGAGAAGGAACTAGGCTTAATTATCCTCTAAAATAGGCCCATCATATTTTTTCTGTAAAGGCACAGGTAGTAAATATTTTAGGCTTTGAAGGCCATTTGGTCTCTGTTATAACTACTCAACTCTGTTGTAGCATGAAAGCAGTCATACACAATACATAGTAAGCATACCTTTGTTCCAATAAAATTTTATTTATAAAAACAGGCACATGAGCCATAGTTCACTGACCCCCCACTCTAAATGATAAAGAGACAGACATTAGAAGAAAAGTTGTTATGAGACTGCCAGCCAAGATGGAGGCATAGGTAGACACACTGTGCCCCCGCACACAGCCAGTAGGAGGACAACAACAAATTTAAGAACAAAATAACAACTAGAACTGACAGAAAATTGAACTGTATGGAAGTCTGACAACCAAGGAGTTAAAGAAGAAACATCCCTCCAGACCGGTAGGAGGGGTGGAGGCAGGAAGCTGGGTGGAGAGGGCTCACTGCCAGGTGGAGGCTGACAGACCAGGGTGGGCAAGGGGGCGGCTGGTGGGCCCAGCAAGGCGGCAGTTGTGGGCTGGGCAGTCCCACATTCCCACACAGATAAACCCAGAGGAACAACTGGGGAGCGAGAGAGGCCACTAACCCAGGGCCCCAGCATGGAGAAATAAAGCTTCAAACCACTGATTGAAAACACCTGTGTGGGTTGAGGCGGCAGCAAGAGAAACTCCCAGCCTCACAGGAGAGTTCGTTGGAGAGACCCACAGGGTCCTAGAACATACAGGAGCCTACCCACCCGGCAATCAGCGCCAGAAGGGCCCAGTTTGATTGTGGGAGCCAGGGAAGTGACTGAAAACTGGCAGGGAGCGGAGCAGGTGCCATTGTTCCCTCTTGACCCTGCCGCCACATATAGCGTCACAACCCAGTGATATGGGTTGCCCCACCCTGGTGAATGCCTAAGGCTCCACCCCTTACTACATAACAGGCAAAGTAAAAAAATATGGCCCAAATGAAAGAGCAGATCAAAGTTCTAGAAAAAAATACAATGAAGTAAGGAAGAGATAACCATCCTATCAGATACACAGTTCAAAATACTGGTAGTTAGGATGCTCACAGAAGTGGTTGAATTTGGTAGTAAATTAGATGAAAAAATGAGGGCTATGCTAAGTGAAATAAAGGAAAATGTACAGAGAACCAACAGTGCCAAGAAGGAAACCAGGACTTAAATCAATGCTGGGGACCAGAAGGAAGAAATTAACATTCAGCTGGAACAGAATGAAGAAACAAGAATTTGAAAAAGTGAGGAGAGGCTTAGGAACCTCCAGGGCATCTTTAAACATTCCAACATCCGAATCATAGGGGTGTCAGAGGAGAAGAGGAAGAGCAAGAAATTGAAAGTTATTTGAACAAATAATGAAGGAGAACTTCCCCAATCTGGCAAGGGAAATAGACTTCCAGGAAGTCCAGGAAGCTCAGAGAGTCCCAACGAAGTTGGACCCAAGGAGGAACACACCAACACACATCATAATTATATTAGCCAACATTAAAGATAAGGAGAGAATCCTAAAAGCAGCAAGAGAAAAGGAGACAGTTACCTACAAAGGAGTGCCCATAAGACTGTCAGCTGATTTCTCAAAAGAAACCTTGCAGGCAAGAAGGGGCTGGAAAGAAGTATTCCAAGTCATGAAAGACAAGGACCTACACCCAAGATTGCTCTATCCAGCAAAGCTTTCATTTAGAATGGAAGGGCAGAGAAAGTGCTTCAAGGCCAAGTTAAAGGAGTTTATCATCACCAAGTCTTTATTACAGAAATGTTAAATATTAAAATTACAAAAATTTAAGAAAAAGATTAAAAATATGAACAGTAAAATGACAACAAACTCACAGTTATTAACAACCACACCTAAAAAAAAAACCAAACTAAGCAAACAACTAGAACAGGAACAGAACCACAGAAATGGAGATCACATGGAGGGTTATCAGCAGGGGAGTGGAAGGGAAAGAGAGGGGGAAAGGTACAGAGAATAAGTAGCATAAATGGCAGGTAGAATATAGGAGGAGGTTAAGAGTAGTATAGGAAATACAGAAGGCAAGGAACTTACATGTACAACCCATGGACATGAACTAAAGTCGGGATATGTGGGTGGGAGGGAGTAAGGGTGGAGGGGAATAAAGGGGGGGAAATGGGACAAATGTAATAGCATAATCAATAAAATATATTTTTAAAAAAGATATTAGATGTGCTCTGTAAAGATTCAATTATTTATAGATTTCAGTTCACTAAAGTTTTCTCATCTAACTATGCAAAGATGTGATGTACTCCCTCTGGAATTGTGAGTTCTTTGATTTGGTAGGTAAACTAAAAGGAAAAGGATGTAATAGAAATAATCTCAGATCCTTTTTTCTAGTTCTAAGAACCTGTGATTGTGATTTGTTTTGGAAATGTTGGTAATGTTTTATACCAAAGTAATTACCTGTTTTGGGTAGTACAAGTTTTGATAAGAGAGTATTAGCTTTGAAGAAGATGAGTTTTTCCAAAACGTCACATCCAAATCACCTGGCATTAACAGTATTTCTAACACGTATAAGTGTTGGCTAAAATGTGGCTCATAAAATTAAAATCTTAGAGAATGTAAAATTATGTAGCTATAATTATATAATACTTGGTTGTCATCCCCCGTCCCCCACCTTCTAGAATTAAACATTTTTTCTGACTATGATGGCCCAAATAGCTTGGAACTAGATGATTTATAGGTTTATTTGTATAAGGAATTAAATAAATAAATAGAATCAGAACCCCAAATTATTTTCATTTGACCTACCATAGCTATGTTCATATGAGTAAATTTTCTCTCTCTCAGTAATCAGATGAAATATTCATTGCTGACATTTTCAGAGCTTCAGGTCCACACAAACTTTATAGGCAAACTGTTAATACATTTGAAGCTTATAATATCAATATTGTTCTTTAGAGAAGCCACAGGCACCATCACAAGTACAACTGATCAAAGCCACTACCAACTCATTTCATGTCAAATGGGATGAAGTGCCTACAGTTGAGGGCTATCTTTTGCAGTTGAATACTGACTTGCCGTACCAAGCTGCAGCATCAGATTCTTCAGCAGCACCAAACATGCAAGGTAACATAATTTTCACACTTAAAACATGTATGCTTATGTGTTTTTTTAAAAAAATATTGCAGGAAAGCCTATGAATAGACCTGATTTAAGAAATGTTATATGATGTTTCCAGCCTGGTAAAGCAAATGTGTCGTGTTTCAACTCTCAAAGTTGACTGTGTCACGGTTGTTATGTAGTGGAACTCATGTATATGTACGGTAGATTGTTTCTTCTGCAGTTGATTTGGGTGGGCTTTCTTAATTTGTCAGGCTACTTCAGAGATAGTTTTAATTAGCTTTACATAAATATTTTGCTTTTTTTTTTCAAAAATATTTTTAACGAACCGGCACTTGAAAATAAAAGCAAATTTAATTTTACATGTTCTTCTAGAAAGGATTTCAGTCAATTATTAAGCAAACTATTAAGAAAACAAAAAACCTTGATAAGGATACTACCTTTTTACTGTTAATATGTAACTTAAAAATGTTTTGATTGTATGTAATATATTTTATTATATCAGCATATCAGTCTGAACTCTTTCCTTCTTACAGGAGTCAGGATGGACCCTCACAGACAAGACAGTAATAGCATCGTTCCTAACAGTGTAAGTTAAAAAATATTTAGGGTAGGAAATGAATGTTTAAGGTTATAGTCCCATTTTTTATTAATATCATTAACATATTAGGACAAAAGTTCTCAAACCTGGCTGTACATTAGAATCACCTCTGAGGTTAAAAAACAAATACACAGATTCCTAAGCCTTTCCCCAGATCTAGTAGTAGCAGAATTTTTAGGGTGATGCCCAGCTAGTTCTGTTCTTAAAGAAAGCTCCATAGATCATTGGGACGGTAGCCTGAGTTAAAACCGCTGTCCAGGAGATTGAAGTAGCCTCATTGACATAAGAGGCTAATCCATTATTTGTACTTTCCAAATATACATGAAATATATTCCTTTACTATGTATTTTGTTTACCAAAGAATATGCGTTGCTAAGTTGAACACCTGTGTTTATGAGGTTGTTTCTTGATTATGAAATCTTCACAGTAAGCATTTGTGGAGACTAACGAAGAAGTTTATTAGGACTGACACTGGTTCTTTTGTGTGTTTGTTTTTAGATTTTATTCATTAATTTTTAGAAAGAGGGGAAGGGAAGGAGAAAGAGAGGGAGAGAAACATCGATGTGAAAAAGAAGCATCGATTGGTTGGTCGCCTCTCATAGGTACCCTTTCCAGGGACTGAACCAGCAACCCAGGCATGAGCCCTGACCAGGTATCAAACTGGTGACCATTTGCTCTGTGGGACAACACCCAACCCACTGAGCCACACTGGTCAGGGCTGCACTGTTTTTATTTGGTAATCTGTGGTCCGCATTCACAGCAGACTCTTTTCAAGGGAAATGATGTAGCAGTAGGCTCACATGTTCTGAACATGGCAGAGGACCTGCAATAAGCAGAAAAGGCTTATTATGTCCTGAAGGGTATGTAACAAGTAAAGCACATACAGTTATTTCTGAGGAGCCCATATTAATAGACTGTACACACACGCAGAGTAGTCCCTCCTTATCTGGGGGAGATGCATGTCAAGACCCCCAGTCGGATGCCTGAAACTGTGGATGGTACTAAACAGTATATATTCTATGTTTTTTCCTATACATACATACCTATGATACAGTTTAATTTATATAGTAGGCACAATAAGAGATTAACAACAATAGTTAATAATAAACTAGAATAATTGTAACCATATCCTGTAATAAAAGTTACATGAATGTGGCCGCTTGTTTCAGGAGATCCCTTGCCGACTTCTTCATATAGGCTAAGAGCTTTCTGACAGCGTGTTGCTCTCAGTTGGAACACTTTTCTGTTTGTGTCTTTCTGTTACAAATTTAATGTCTTTTCCATCTTAATGAAACACTTATCACACACTGTGGCTGTAACTTTTTCAGTTTTAGGTGCAATAGCAAAACTACCACAATTTTTTTTCCTTCACAATTTCACAGATAGAATATTTTTTTCTTACCATAGATCTCAGCCACCTCAGCATATGATTTTTAAAAATTTCTTTGTTGAGAACTTTCACCTTCTTTGGCATACCCAAATTGCTAACATTACAACTTTTGCACCATTGTTCAGTAAAAGGAGGGTTATTTGAACACAGGCACTGTGATACCACAACACTCATCTGATAACTGAGACGCTACTGAGGGATTAATGGGTAGGTGGTGTGTACAGCATGGATATGCTGGACAGAGGGGTGACTCTCGTCCAGGCAGGGTGGGATGGGGCAGCAAGAGATTTCATCTGGCTACTCAGAACTGTGTGCAATGTGGAACTTAGGAATTATTTATTAGTTGCTTATTTATGGAATTTTCCATGTAATGTTTTTGGCCCATAGTTACTAAAACCACAAAAAGCAAAACCATGGCTAAGGGGGCATTATATGTACATATGTTATATGTTTATATATTGTATATGTGTGTGTATATGTATTCTTACAAATTTAGGTGGTACTAGAAGGTTTGTGATGAAGAACAATAGTTTCCTACTCTCTCCCCCTCTGGTCTTGATTATGCCTCTCTAGAAACAACTGCTTTCAGCTTTTTTGGCTTTCTTCTGATACCTGTCTTTGTGCTTTTAAAGAAAATCTTTATGCTACCACTTCTTGACGTTCTAGTTTTAGATGCATTGCTTTCAGTAACAGAAGATGAAGACTTGATGACCTTTCAACATTGCCATTTCTTCCCCTTCCCCTTTTCACATCCTTCAGATGTTTTTAGATGAATTATTATTTGATGTTTACATGTCAGCTGTGAACAATGACGTACTCACAGCTGAGCCATGTAGTATGTTATAAGCATTATTCCTTTTTCACATAACTTTTTATTTTTCCTGGCATTGTTAACTGCCTCACTTTTCCATTTGCTTAGTTTTCTTTTTGCCTATCATTAATTTATACTCCAATTCTCCAACAGAATTACAAAACTCCTCTCAAAATATCAAACATATAAGGTAGTTTGATAAGAAACATATAAGAGAGGGAGAGAAACATCGATGTGCGAGACATCTTTCAGCTGCCTCCCACATTCCCCCAACTAGAGAGCCCTGGCCCACCACCCAGGCATGTGCCCTGACAGTCAAACCAGCGACCTTTTGTTTTACAGGCTGGGGCCAAATCCACCGAGCCACACCAGCCAGGGCACACATACTTAATTTCTAAAAGCTTGATTTTATTCTCTACTTCTTCTATAGCATCTTATTCTTTATGAATATATTGTCTTCCTTTATCTCTTTGAGAATTGCGCTTTTTAAAAAAATTGGAGCTATAGTCTACTCCCAGCAATATTTGGTTTTTTCAAGCTCTTTTTTTAAAAAAATATTTTATTATTTATTTATCTTTAGAGGGGAAGGGGCGGGGGGAAGGAGAGAGGGAGAGAAACATCAATGTATGGTTGCCTTTTGTGCGTCCCCTGCTGGGAACTGGCCTGCAGGGAACTGGCGTGCAACCCAGGCATGTGCCCTGACTGGGAATCAAACCACGATCGTGTGGTTCGCAGGCCCGCGCTCAATCCACTGAGCTACACCAGCCAGGGCTCCAAGCTCTTTTTTAAAAAAATTTATTTTGTCTTAGACTTGCATGTTAGAGGCTGTCATCAAATGTGGTATTTGGCTGTCCTTTCATTTCTAAAGTGAGGTATCAGAAGGAGCTTGGAAGATGTCTTTGTCCATTTGCACAGCTAGAATAAAATCCCATAGACTGTGTGACTTACTAACAACAGACATTTATTTGGTATTTTGCTGTTCGGCATGCAGACTTTCACTGAACCTTCATTTTCTGCTTGGTGCCTCTCCTCCATCATCACCTGAGAAACACTGTACCACAGTCCAGAGCCTCACATTGCCTCCTTTCCACTGATTTCCCATCTACAGTCAGAATAAGGGGGAAGAATTTGTCTGACTTTCTGTGCAGGAAGGGCAGAGCTGGGGCCGCAGTGACTTTTGATAGTCTTCCCTATAACTGTCTCCTGGTGTTCACTCACACCCTACACCCCAGCCTCCACAGAACCTCATGCCTCCAGTTCCCAGGACTCTCTGGGCTGTCTGGCCCAGTGGTTTGCCTTAGTGACTTTTCACCTCCTGGCTTTTCGCTGTCAGTTTTTTGTGTTTTATATCTTCTTACCTACTGTTGTCTCTTCTCCTATTCTCTTTTTTCTTATAAGTATATACTTTTATATATATATATTTAAAATTTTCTTTATGATTATTTGAGTTGGGTTTGTGGAAGAACCTCCTGAAACACATGTGTTTAATCTATTATGTTTAGCCAAAAATTTCAGGGCTTATTTGTTTTTATTTTGCATAATTCTAGTTAGAATGGATATCTGATTTTTTAGCAAAAAGCACATTAGAGACACTATAACATGGAGACTTCGGAGTAAGATAAACCTAGGTTCAAATTCTAGCTCTTCTGTTACTGGTACCTGACTGTGGGTAGATTATTTAAGCCCTCCGAACCTCATTCATTTTTTTCCTGAATAACAAGGGTCATATTATCCAGCTTACAGAATTCCTGTGAAGGTTAATTGAAATATAGACTTTATAAAAACATATTACATTCCTGCCACACGGTGTAGTGAGTGCTCCCTAATGGTTGTGGCTATCATCATCTTTTACTGACAGTAGCACCATCACCGTCGGTTAGAAGAGAACTAACTACAGGGCATGTCATGGACGAGCCCCCTCAGAGCCATGAGAAGTTACAGGAGCAGCTATTTTGGGGCATCTGAATGAAGTCAGATTATTTTTATGTTTCATTAGACCTATAGATATTGCAGTATAATAACCGATATTCACACTGATGACTTGAAATAGCAAAAAAAATTCAGTGTGTTCTTTGTAGTGTAAGAAGGCAAAGAAAATGTACTTAAGATGATTCCTATTTAAAATTTTAATGGCCAAGCATATTATGTCTGTGAATTAAATCTTGCTGTCTATATGGAAAACTTAGTTGTGTGGAATAATCCATTTGCTTGAATGTTCCATGTAACTGAGATTTTTACCTTTAGGGGCCATCAGTAGTATACATGTCTGATCTTGCTAAGAAAATTTGACCAGAATGTTAAACTCAGTAGCTGTGGTGTTATCTCCTTTGTTGCATACATATTTGCTTAAATACTAACCACAACTTATAAAAATGTAGATTTTTCCCCTCAAATACAGCCTCCCTTTCCCCTTTAGAACTTGCCTTTTGAGACTGGAGGTTACATGAAAAGAAATTGCTTTCTTAAACTATTATAAAATTTAAAAAATAATCCTATATAAATTAAGAATGTAATTTAAACTGTTATATATTTTGGTTATTTTCAAAATAATTGTAAATTATTTTACTTGCTTTTTAACATATATTTCTATGTAATTGAATATTGCTTGCTACAATAAACTTTTTTTTTTATAGATCAATAATACAATGAACAGTACAAAAACCGAACATACAGCTACAAAAGGAACTTCAGTGGAAAACAAACCAGATCTCAAAGCATCAACTGACTCTAATGCCATTTTACATTCATCTTTGGCAACTAATGCTTCTAATCATAATAGTTGTGTGGTGGATGTGCTAAGGAAAAATGAAGGTATAAAGATAGTGTTTTAAGTAAAGCTAAATAAAGCTTTCTATAATAATGATAGTGAATTTTAGAGTCTTTGAAAAAGTCAATGTTATGTGGTTGTGATCCATTTTAAAAATAATAATAAACCTACCATATTGACCCTAGTCAGAGTGATGGGTGATATCAAGGTGCCAAGCAAGCACTTGCCTGAACAGTGGTGAGTAGTTGTGAGCTATGGAACTCAAATGAAGAAGCTCTTGTCTGACCTTTGCATTTGGCCATTGTGTTCAATGTCACTATTCCAGTACTCTGTTTTTCTTAGCATCTATTACTGTTTGATGTTACTTATCTGGGGCAGGGATTTTGTCTGTCTTGTTCACCTTCTGTTTTTTCAGCATCCAGATCATGCCTGGTAAATAGTAGTCACTTAGAAAATATTTGTTTAGCAAGTGACTGGAATGAAGTTACTTGCCAAAAGAAATGAAGTTATTTATGAGAACTGTTGATTAGCCAGTTGTACTCATGGGAAAACTTGTAATTTGGTGACCTTATGTTTAAAATAAGTTCATTTGAATATTCTGAAGCCATTGAAATATATTAAGCATTGCCTCTGATTTCACTAAAATTATTTCATAAGTCTCATTCTGATATATCCCTGACATAGAAGCATATGACTTTACTTTTAATTTGAAAAAAATAATGACAGCTGATACAAATTTAATTACTCTTCAATGATTCAAACTTAGCAAGAGGAATATTCTTTTTATTTGCATTTTTCTTTGTAAGTTGATGGTATATAAAAATATTCAAGGAAAATAATTTTGTCATTTCATTACAAATGACAAAATATGGAAGAGGAGAGTGCTTTTGTTTCACTGATTTTCTGTGTAAGGGAATCGTTTGGTCAGAGTTATAGAAGCTTGGTCCTAGACTTCAATTTAAATTTCTTTCTTGTAGTGACTTTCTATGTCTATCTTATTAAAAACTTTATACTCTTGAAAAACAAATATGAACTTTGAGATTTCAAAATCTTAATGTACTCTATACTTTTTATTACAAGGCAGTTTTGATAAAATGAATACTAGGCATATGGGAAAACCAGATTAGTCATACAGCTGTAGTACCTGGCAGGTCATAGACACTCAGATGCGTGAATGAGTGGCTACCCAGTCTCAGGTTAACAGGAAGAGACTGGGCTTTTTCTCTGCAGGTTGGAGTAGCTGGTATTTTTCAAGAGTAGAAAGTGACGTGATTAGGTTTCTTCTTCAGAAATGGCACTGCAGTCTCACCATCAGGAAGAACTATGATAGGAAATGTGGGGAGACTTGATCAGGGACTCTTGTAGGACTCTAAAGAGAGAAGCACAGAGACTAAAGCAGTAGGTGGGATGGAGAGGAAAGAAGACACCATTTCAGAGACTTTTAGAAAGTAGTATCTATTAGACTTGGAAACTGGTTTTATATGAGAAATAGAAATAATCTGAATGTGACTCCCAGTTTTTTGGGTTGGGCATTCAGTGGCTGATGATACTATTCATCAAGGTTAGAAATTCAGGAGCAAGAATAAATTTGGGGAAGAGAGAGGTTCGACTTCGAACTTACTGTTTTTGAAGCACTTAAGGAACATACTTGGTAAAGATTTCTAAAGGGCAGTTGAATACTTATGTCCGGAGTCTGGGAAGTAGTTCTTGTCTGGAAATGTAAGTTTAGAAGTTAAGGGAATCTAAAATGTAAGCTTCACAGAGCAGGGACTCTATCCAATGTATTCATTGCTGGATACCCAGCAATGCGCACAGTGCCCATGACAGGTATTTGGGAGAGAGATGATCATGAATGGTAGTCAAAGCCTAGAGAAAATAGGTAAAGGAAGAAAAGAAAAGGTGTAAGAATTCTTGCATTTGGCGAATCATCTAAAGAAGAGAGAAGCTAGCTAAAGAGATTGAAACGAGGTTCCTAGCAGGTTAGGAAAAGGACTAAAAAGATTAGTATCATTTTTTTCCGTCTGTAGTGGGCATCAGTTTGTGACTAGTGTATGCACGCCTCTCTCTACCACACGACTGTACATTCACGAGATATAGTCCAAGCCTGCTTTGTTTGACCATCGTAGAAACAAGCACAAAGTCTGGTAGATAGAAAATCTTCAGTATTGTGGAACAAAGGGACATTAGTCATAGAAAGAAACAGCTTCCAAAAGGAATATGTGGCCAGCATAGTGTACACTACAAAAAGGCGAAGTAAATGAAAATGGAAAAGTATGCCTTAGAAATCATTGAAGTTTGCCAGAGCCATTTTATCAAAGTCTGTAGTGTTTTAGAAACTCCATTTAGAGATGTCCAGTCTCCAAAGGAAATAGAGACTGCTCGGAAGGGAATTAACGGGAGAGCAGTAACTGGAGCAGACTTAGGGGTCAAGGAAGAGGACAGTTTGTTTGTAGGCTCAATAATATTACAGACTAAGGGCCAAAAACTACTGAAGAAAAAGAATTGTAAATTCTGAAGAGAGAGGAATGATTGATGAGAAAGTCCCAAAATACGGGGGGAGGAATGGGACCAAGAGCACAGGAGGATAGATTAAAGTTCCTTAGGAGACAGATCAGTTTATCCTTGGAAATGGAAAGAGAAGATGGAGAGGAGGGGCACAGTCATACACACCTTTTGAGTTTAGGGCAGGAGAAGACACAAAATTGATCCTATTTATGCCTGATGACCTCTATTTTTTCCCCTAAACTGGGAGGCAAGACCATTTGATGTATAATTTAGTGGTTATTTTCAGAACAACTATTTAGTGTTTAGAATGGAAGAGAGGGTTGAGAAGTTGGACATCCATTGTGAATATCATGCACTTTGTTTATCTAAATATTTTGGAAACTAATGGTTAATTCATATAACTGACATTGGTGGTGCTCATGTTTATGATTTTGAAATTGAAAAATACCAAGAATTGTATGACAAGGACTATAACGACAACAATTATCTGCAGGTAGTATGTTAATAATTGATCTTTTCCCTTCAATTTCAGGCCCTCACACTTCAGCAAATACAGGTGTTCTAAGTAGTTGCCTGGATTTAAGAACAATAATTCCTGAAACGTCTGTGTCCAGCACTGTTTGCAGCGCACAAACTATGGTAACCCAGCAGAGCATTAAAACTGAATCATCCAGTACAAATGGGGCAGTTGTTAAAGATGAAACTTCACTAACAACATTCAGTACCAAATCTGAAGGTTTGAAATGTGTTTCACATACTGTATTTTGAACCATTTTTGTATATAAATTCATCGAATTTGTTTGTTTAAAACAGGAAATGAAATGTGTTTCACATACTGTATTTTGAACCTTTATTTGTATACAAATTCATCAAACAGTTTTAGATGGGAGTTGCATCTCACCTTAGATTTGAATCATCTATAAATATATAAAGCATTTCAATTAAAATCATTATGCAGTATACTCTCTGCTGCCTTGGGTAAAATATTTCAGTCAGTGCACACTGAAATGCAATAATGTGAATATATTCAGCAAATTCATTTTCTTAGAAAAGATTAGTTCTAGACTATGGAATAACAGTTTCCCCAGCTTGATTGATTTCTGATTTTGTAAGTTCTCATTTTGTTTCATCTTTGGTAAATGTTCTCTGAAGTTTCTAGCTGGTTATCAAACTGTAGAAAAATCAACTTTGTGAATTAGTTTGAGTTAGAGGCTACATATTTCTAATTATTGTGATTTTATCACTCTGGCTCTTTATATTTATGAGTTACATTTTAATGTGTCGGTTTGATAAGTGACTATGGAAAACTTATCCGATGAACTGTTTAACTTTTAGTTGATGAAACGTGTGCACTGCCTGCAACTAAGATCAGCCGTGTGGAGGCACATGCTCCGGCGATGCCGTCGTCTGTAAGTACATGAGCCGGAGACAGTGTGTGCTTACAGGTGGCTAACTGTGCTTTACGTGCTGAGCAGCTTGGGTGCAGGTTTACAAAAGTATTCCTGGGTGTCCTCTAGTAATGATTTGACATAGATTGAAAAATAAAGACTTGAGTAGGAAAAATATTCACAGTAATGTTAAGTGAAGAGAGCTGGATAAAAAGCTATATACACACACAGATCCATGCATGCTGTGGTCCCAATTTTATTAAAAAAATAACATGCCCTGGCTGGTGTAGCTCAGTGGATTGAGCATAGGCTGCAAACCAAAGGGTTGCCAGTTGGATTCCCAGTCAGGGCACATGCCTGGGTTGCAGGCCAGGTCCCTATGAGGGGGCATATAAGAAGCAACCACACAGTGACGTTTCTATCCTTCTCTTTCTCCTTCCCTTCCTCTCTCTCTAAATAAATAAAATCTTTAAATATATATATAAATAAATAAATAAAAATACAACTGGCCCTGGCCAGGTTGGTTAGTGGATTGGAACATCCTCCTGATAAGCTAAGGTTGCAGGTCTGATCTCTGGTCAGGGCACATTCAAGAAGCAGCCAGTGAGTGCATACGTAAGTGGAACAGCAAACCGCTATCTCCCTCTCTTCTCTGTCCCCCTCTCCCCTCTCCCACTTCCTCTCTCTCTCTCTCTCTCTCTAAAAACAATTAAAAAAAAATTTTTTTAAATACAGAACATTAAAAAAAAATACACCCCATCCATACATTCGTATTTCACCCAAGTCCACACGCATCTACACTACAGTGCTAGATAAATTTTTCCAGGTTGTGGGGCTACAGATAATTTTTACTTTCTTCTATATGCTTTTAATATTTTTTCCTAATGAAATGTGTCACTTTCATAATCAGAAATGTGTCTATGCACATATATGCATATTCATAAATTACATTAGTGGTTTTAAGAGTAAAAAGTATGTTATAGAACATAAAATTTGAATGGTTCTGTGGCCAGCTGTTTAAGAGAAGAACAACAGAATACTACAGTATTGGGTTAGGCATACCTATAGGGTAGCCCAGTAGTCCCTGACACTGCATTGTTTTATGAGGGCCAGAATTGATCTGCATGGCATTAAACTTAAAATGTTAAGAATGTGCCTCACAAATGTACCAAGAGTACCTTAATTAGATAAATATAAGGACAGTACATGTTTGTGTGCATGTGTATCTGTATACTTCTTAATTTATTTTAAAATTACCAATCATTTCAACTTTATTGCTATGAGCAAGAGTTTTTATTTGACCTAATATTTACTTTTTAGAGTCTTCGAGAATTATCTATAGCTTTAGTTTTTTTCAATCATGATTTTATGGATTTTGGTCATATATTTACCTTCACCAGCTTTTACCTTTACAGAATGTTAAGTCCTAGTGTTCTTAAACTCTTTTCAGAGAAGAATTATTAAAATATGAACTTTTTCCTAAGCCTTAAAGACTTAGTTAGCTCACTTTGTCATGTGTGATAGCCTGAATAACAAATAATGTGAATTATAAGCATGTACCTCTGCTGTTATATATTTAAGACAAATAAATAACTGAAGTGCACATTTGTTTTGAGCTTCTGGAAACAGTGTCTCATTTATAAAGAAGATGGCTTAAAAAGGTTAGTTCCAGGGATAAGTATAATTCACTTATCACTAAAAGTAGCTTAAGGTAGAGGAAGTTTATTTCTTTTAAAGCAAGATAAAACATGTAAAACTGTTCAATCTGCTCCTCTTTAGTATCTATACTAAAAGATATTCAAATTGCATTTTAGTTTTGAACATTTTTTCTCCTTTTAGGTTTGGAGAATCCCAGGTATTTGAAGTGCAAAGATCACTGAATTTCTGCTAGTTGTTTTTGAATCTAGAAATAAGCCAGCTTGGAATGATTTTTTTTTCATATTAGCTCCTTTTGAAGCAAGTTGTAACGTCACACTAGAGGGATTACATTTTCCGAGAGGGTCTCTGATATGACAGTGTTCCACAGAGCAGCTGGCATTTTAACATACCACTGGTGGGAAAGCATGCTAACTCCAGCTAGGTTGATGGTGTGGAGCTACTGACATGGACAATGCCTGTCACTCCTATGTTTGAATTGGCATCCCTGTTTCACTCTCAGTTGACCTAATCTGTTAAGAGTTTATTTACTTATGAACTATTAATCTTGTGGTGCTTACCCATATACCTACTTGTAGATCACTGCATGGACTTATTAAATCTTGGAATTTATTATATGCTCAATAAGAGTCTTCATAAATTTTTCTTTCTCTGAAATTAGAAAGAGACTCCTTCAAATCCAGTGGCCACAATGAAAGCAGGAGGAGAACGACAATGGTGTGATGTAGGGATTTTTAAAAATAATACTGCTTTGGTGAGCCAGTTTTATTTGCTGCCAAAAGGGAAGCAAAGCATCTCAAAGGTACTTATTGATTGATATATTTTTCTACACTGTGAGTTATAAGCCTCAAGAATGAGATTTTTTTTTCATTATTTTGATTGGAGTTACTTGAATGCATGAAATTGGATCTCACAATCTATAATTGAGAATTCTATAATATATACCTAGTTACCTTATATTCTTTTTAAAAGATCTTTTTATAGAATATATCATAAGCAGGTCATTTAAAAATCTTATATAATCACTGGGCTGGATTTTGAGCAGTAAATAATATAGTCTGGCCAGTAAAACAAGGATTTTTTGAAATAGCTCTAATTTTGTTATGTGATGTGTTTACAAAATAGAACATTTTTTCTTACCCTGAATTTTATTTCTGATTTCACAATTAAAAAATGTAAACCCCCCTGTAGGCTAATGAATACAATTTGATTTTCCCTTGATTCTGTAAGCCCTTACAGTAGAATATATATATATATACATACATATATATATGACATTAAATAACCTTATAAGAATTATGAAATAGATAACCTCTTCAAAGCATATGGAACTTTTTAAAATCTGGAATGGGAAATTTCAGAGAGAGAATTACCAAGTAAATAGGCAATAGGAAGTAGGATATTCTTTGAATCTCCCAAAGATCTGCATAAATAGAGAATATATAATTTATCATTATATTTCAGTTTTTTTAATGTTACTTCTGGTGTCCCTCTTTTTCATATTGAATTCTTCCAATTCTTGGGGAAAAAATAGAAATCTTGGTTAATAATTTGTTAGTATTATGCCTAATGAAATTTATGGCTACAGTTTATTTTCATATATAAGGAAATATCCATATAAGGTCCTAGCAGCTACCTATTTTTTCCAAAAGGTAAAAAGAGTTTGATATTTAGAACCAGTAAACTTGTATTTGAATGATTAGTTCCAGCACTCAACAGTGTAACCTTGGACAAGTTACTCCTCTAACCTCTCTGAGACTCAGTTTCCTCATCCATGAAATGGAGATGACATAACTCTCTTAAAATGGGATGATACATTGGTGCTACATGTTTCACAGATGTGTAGTGAGAGTTAGGGAGAATATATAAAAATTGTTTTAAAGTTGTAAATGTTACACTCTTCCTACCCAGAGTATGAAATCCAATTATTTTATTTAATCATTTATTCAGCATGGAAATGAGATAGTCACTTTGTTTATAGTGGTTGTTAATTTTTGTTACCTACATACTCTTCATGTACAGAATACCCTTACAGTTCTTATAACCAGAGATTCACAACTGGAAAGCGCACTTTTCCTCTGAATAAGAATCCCCAATTTATGGCTTAGTTGCTTTTGTATTGGAGGGCTCAGCCATGTGTGATAAGAGGGAAATAAATGTGAACTAGAACCTAAAAACATAATTCATTTTTTAAAAGTTTTATTTAATTAAAAGTAATTAACTGCACTTTTTCTTTACTATAACATTTTAGATAGGAAATGCGGACGTACCCGACTACAGTTTACTTAAGAAACAAGATCTTGTTCCAGGAACGGGATACAGGTTCAGGGTTGCTGCTGTCAATGGCTGTGGAATAGGCCCTTTCAGCAAAATCAGTGAATTCAAAACCTGCATTCCTGGTTTTCCTGGAGCCCCTTCTGCAGTCAGAATTTCAAAGGTGAGATGTAAGATCAAGACTCGGTGATGTAAATCATTGAAACTATGTACATGAAATAAAACTGTCAGTTTAGAGATTCTTGTTTGTGTCTGATGTAATGAGAGATATTTAAAAGGGGTAGATTAGAAATTTTAAAAATACTTCTTTGCTAATCACTCACAATAGTTTTAAAGACCAAATTTCAAGCAGAATTACAGCATCCAAATTACAGAAATTCAGGGGAATCTGGTATGCTTTTTATTATTAGTTTTGTTCTTGTTGTTTATGGAACAAAAAATTTGTGTTGGAAGATTTTAATAGAATACATGAAATTGGATTATATTTTATTCTAAGGTCCTGCCTCACCTTAGAGAGGAAAAGGTCTGCTTTCAAGCAAGAAAAATCCCTTTCTTGGGAAAGTACAGGCAGACATTTAAGCCTAGGTATGTGTTTGAAAAGTGGGCATAAATTAAACATTGCAGATCCAATTAAGGTACGTTTTTTAAACTCAACAATAAAAGTTCTAACCTCTAGTGCGTTTACCTTAGCAAAAGCAGCATTTTGTGTTCTAAAGATAGAATCAACATAAGTGATAGTAGAGAAAACTTCAGAACCTTGACCTGTTATTTTCCTTCTTCTCTTCAAGAATGTTGAGGGTATCCATCTTTCCTGGGAACCTCCGACTTCGCCTTCTGGAAATATTTTGGAATATTCAGCCTACTTGGCAATCCGCACAGCACAAATACAAGATAATCCCAGTCAACTTGTGTTTATGAGGATTTATTGTGGTCTTAAGACATCGTGTATAGTAACTACTGGGCAACTTGCAAATGCACACATTGATTACACCTCAAGACCTGCCGTGGTGTTCAGGATATCGGCCAAGAACGAGAAGGGATATGGACCAGCTACACAAGTGCGGTGGCTTCAAGGTAACAGTAAAAAAGCACCTTTAAATTAAATTTCTTTTTTACTAAAGCTGTTGTGATTATGATTATTTATTAGTAACTGGTTATGAAGATTTGTCATTTAAAAGAGTATTCCTTGTATTTCTAGCAGTTATGAATTTGAATTTGTAAGTTCTTAAAATGTATTTGCTCAATTCTAGATCCAAATAAAAACAGAAAAGAAGTAAAGACTCTCTGAGAATTAGTATATGGATTCTTCGTTATAGTTATAGCTCTTTCACAAAGGAACATGGTTTTATTACCCCAACATATTTTATAAAGGCCATGTAGCTCAGAGTTCTCGAGGTGATTCTAGTAACTGGCTGTTGTACAGTGTGCTGTCTCTGTAGTAAATGTTCTCTATATTGCAAAGGCCCTGTCTTTGAGTACTCCCTCTAACTTTATTCTGTATGAGCAGTATTCCTCTAACAGCTGTCTTCTACTGGATAATATAATATTTGTGATATTAATTTTAGCAGCCATTTAATTTCTTTGCTTATTCAGTTAGCACAGAGCTTAAGAAATTTTTTAAAAAGAGGCAAGTTCAGAAACTCTGCTTTTGAATTTTTATTATTTTCCAAGAATCATGGCAAAATATAGTGTATTTTCTAGATTCATACCAGGTGATATATAAGAATATATTTTTGGCCAAAGCACTTAACTTTGGCCCTTAATTCCTCATTAATAGAATATTTTACCTTTAAGCTCCCTTTTAGTACCTAAGTTCTGTATTTTCATCAGAAGTGAAGTATTTCCCTGAACAATTTAACATCTGTTTTCATGGCCCTGACTTTTCTTTTGCTGAAATTAAAACATTCATAATTTAAAATCAAAATTAAAGTATATGTCCTCCTTATTGCAGAAAGAAATAAGCACCTTAAAGGACACAAATTTTGAAATAGTGTTTTAAACATTTGTAAGATTTTTGTAAGTGCTCTAAATGTTTTATTTTTGCATTGTTTTTACCTCGAAATTGTATAAACTTTTTTATAACTGAAATATAAGCATTAGATAGCTTACTCTCAGGTTCCATTACAACCTTAAAGATGCAGATAGGCATTCTGGATACTCTGCTAGAGGTTAACCTGTTCTAAACCTTTGAGGAATTTCATGGTTTCACTGCCTATTCAAATCGGGAATCAATATACAGAGCAATAATTACAGAAAAGACATTTCCAACTAAGAGCTGCAGTGACCGCAGGGGCGTGGGTCTGTCTTTTTCGTGCCGTGTAACCTTATGCCAGCGTAGGTCGACTGAGTGGCGATGTCCTCCAACTTCGTGTCAATGCTCCCAGAAAAGGTAGATGTAATAAATGTGCACAATTGATATATATGTGTGTTCCAGTTACTAATTTAAAGTGTATAGAATATTTTAATATATAATTTTTGTAAAGAACTGGGATTTTTATACTACAGTATTTGTAATTAATGTGTTTCACTAATGAAGTTTCTCTTGAAGAAAATATGCAAATTGTTAGATGCATAACAAGCTATTTCCAAACTCTAAAGGTAAAATAAATGCACTACTATGGTGTTGTTAGAATACCCTTTTTGGTGGCTGTATGAATCCTTCATCTTTAAATGTGTACTTTACAAACAATGTTTACAAGGAGCTTCTCTGGTTTGTTATCCCAGCACCTTCCTTGGTGAGAGCTTCATTCTGCATTTGTTTAACTCATGCTTTGCTTTTAGCATATATTGCTTTTTGCACTAGTAGAATTTTAACTTACCTCATTGTTGTGTTTGTAATTATTTGTATAGCTTCCATAATATGTCTGATATAGGCTAAAAAATACTTAACCAAAGTTAAAATAAATGGTAAGCAATTTTGCACATACTAAAGGCTAGGGTTTGTTGTGTATATGTGTGCGTTTAGTTATAAAAAGAGTAAGAATGGAAAGTTATAGTAAGTAATGTTTCAAAGCCCAATTATTTTAAAGATCTGTTTGTTTCATTAGAAAAAGGTCTGGCTTTTAACCCCTTATTCTTTGCATTAACAGTTTGCATCTTGAAGCTTCTCTTAATGACAAGGAATAAGCTGGCTTTAAGCAAAGAATGGAGTATTTGTTTGAGTGTGCACATTTGTACCTACTTAGTATTTGGTTTGATTTACTTTGCTTAAATGTCTCTACTGTTATAAACCACAAGGTGAATATGAACCTTTGGTTCTAACATCTATCTTATTTTCTATTGTGAAAGGCATTCTTTCTCTACCAGGGGATTTGTTACCATTACTAATGTTTTAACTCTGAGAATTAGCCCACAATCTGTTATTATTTTTTTTGCATTTGTTAATTAAGTACTAGTCACATTTATCTGTCTGATAAGTGATTGGTGACTTAAAGAGGCTGCTGAGAAGTCTCTGTGGCTTTTTTATTAACAGTTAGTAAGAGATCTTTGACCTGTGTGTTCATGACTAGAATGGATTGGAGTGATGAGCGAGGTGCATTTAGCTTCTTATGATTGGCACGTTTCTAAGTGAAAATCCCTTTGAGTAGCAGTGGGCTATATTACGCAGATATCATAAGAGGATTCACAATGAGTTTGAGTTAAATTAGTTTCTTTACTTCTCCCAGCTGCATAAGCAATTCAGATGTACGAGTCTTTGTGCTACGGTCCTATTTCTGGGCTCTGCAACCTTGGTTCACATATGTAGTAAAAAGATTTTGATGTTGCATGCTCTTAGAGTTATGTTTTCTAAAATATTGTATTGGTTTTGATTCAGTTTGACTAAAAATACGGTATTATAAACTCACTTTCATCTGCATTTTTATAAAACAAATAATCTGAATTGCATGTATAAGGCCCTCTTGTCCTATAACTGAATTACATAAACATAATTTCTATAAGAAGGTGAAACTGTTGATCCATTATTTCAAACACCTGTAGACTAGCAAAGATTTGTTCTGGCTAGAGATATGGTCTACTATAACTGAAGATATTTTTATTTTTGAAAATTGCAGCACTTATAGCATAAAAATCATTTGTAACATTGGATACTAAGAGATTATTAGTATTTAAATTATTCTAGTCATCTGGTCACAAATGAACTGGGTTGCAAAATAGACTTGGTCTTTGACCATTTAAGCAGGTATAACTGACAGTTATGTTTTCCAAGAAGTTATTTTAGGCAGTTTTATGTGTTGTGTACCAATGATATGTAAAATAAAGCACCTTTTCTATTATAACCAATTACAGGTGTTATTTATTTTGAACTATATGAAAGAAAAATTAATGATGGTGAAGTAAATCTGTACAAATGTGGATTTTTATATTAGTCACTTAAAATGATATAGTCATAATCCATAAAGATTGGATTATGTCTAAAAGTCTTGTTTTTAAGTCAGTGGATTGTGTTTGGGAGGCGTTTGCTTACAGAAATGTAAAGCCCAACCCTAACTACAGCTGAGCTAGTCTGCTTGGGAGTTAGAAAGCAAAGGGCTCAAACAACAGTCTAAACTCGTTGTCACCTCTTTTTGGTCTTCTATTTACTCTTCAATTTTTAAATTATAGTTGGCGTATAATATTAGTTCCAGATGTACAGCATAGTGACTCATTATTTATACACTTTATAATATGACCACCATGGTAAGTCTCGTACCTACCTGTCACCATGCAACTCATGGCATAATTGACTGTTCCCTGTGCTGTGCACTGCACATCCCCGTGGCTTACTAATGTATGGCTGGAACTGTGTACCCCTTACCCCCGTTCACCTTCCTATCTGCCTCCACAGCCTCCTCTGGCACCCATCAGTTTGTTCTCTGTTATCTGTGAGTCTGTTTCTGGTTTGTTGTGTTTATTCATTTATTTTTTAGACTGCAGGTATAAGTGAAGATTATTATTCAATCTTAATTTTTTTCCTCATGCTTCACCCATTTTTAACTTACAGTGGCCAGGCTTCTGTCCTTTTACAACATCAAAATGGCTTTGGCAAAGGGCAGGGATAACTGCTCATTTCCCAAGTCCAGTGAATTCTTTGATTATACTTAGCCTTGTCATTTGAAGCTTTTAACCACTCTTCTGACACTGTCACAGTTTGTTCGTTTCTGTGATACTGTGCTCCACCTTTCTTTGTGCACCTTGTGTCCCCTTTTCTGGTTGCCATCCTTTTTGTTTTTCAAGATTCAGGGTCAGATGTGGCCCGCCTGGTGAAGCCTTTCCTGATTACTCCACTTCCAGGTAGATTTGACCGCTTCTCCTTGTCTGCCCAGTGTCCTTTGTTGTATCCTCTCTAACGGCAGTCTGTGCACTGTCTGCCCCTCCGCCAGATGGTGGGGTCTTTATATTTCCTCCATGTCACCCATCTAGCTGGTACTTAAATATTTTAACAAATTATTAAAGAAAATGTTACCTTTATATCTCTCCACTCTCACTCCCCCTTCTCCAGTTAGGGTGAAAATGGGAGGGGCTTTCGAAAGGAAGTGAGTTTTAGCAGATTTAATAAGGCTTTGGAGGAGACGGGGACTCCAGCTCTGTCTTACCTTGTCCTGCTATCACTCAAATCCTTGAGAGAAGTTCTGTGATAAATAAGGGATGTGCCCCACATTTACTAGGCTAAAGGGGATTCTTTGATCTAAAAAGATTAGTGAAATCAGTGGACATTGCTGGATTATGACTTTTAACATTGGATGATAAAGAGAATGAGCCAAAAATACTTTTCATAGTTAACCTCTCTGATTTCCGTATATGAAAGCCATGGGTAATTGTCTAACGTCAGAAAGAAACCACCTACTTTCAATACTTAAGCACAGGGAGCTGCTGGAGGACACAGGTTACCAGCCTTAGAACTGTACTGGATTCCGCTGCATACCAAGTCAGGTCACTCTTGCCACCTCTGAGCTTATGGGGCAAAGGATTCTTATACTACTGGACAACAAGGTAACATTAGCATACCTTCCTTCTAAGTTTCCCAGGCGTAGTTGGGAATTCCTATGCTTATTTATATCCCTATAACTCAGGAAAAGACTGTTTTATCATTCATAGGAAAACATGAACTACTACATTCTGGGAAGAAACAATAAATTCTATAAACTGTATGAATAAAGAAAAGGCTATAAAATCCAAGGATACTTCTTGTTCAGAATAGATTTCTTTCTCTTAATAGCATTCGTTTGCTGCTTTTCTGACCTCAGCAGACCTAAAATCAGGAAAATGTCCGTTTGTGGGACTGTTAATCTCAGCAAGTAAGTGTGGCGAGGGTCTTTTGTTTTGTATATGTGGTGTCTTGGATAACTTGAATTGAGCATGAATCTGGTTCTCAAAGTTCATCAAACTCAAATCTGACTACCACTCATGCCAGTACCTCAAATTCAAAAGTCTTGAGAATACAGTTACAGTGCCTTTGGCCTCGGATAGAGAGCAGGCTGGCAAGTCATAGGTGTGAGGCTATGGAGGATTTCCTGTTTCTTGGCTTGATTTACTGGTTCTGCAAAAAGTTTTGGCAGAGTACTCAGAGATGTCAGGGTGTTGACCTCTGAAGATAAAAGTGCAAAAGGTATGAACTGGGGGCGTGTCAGGTACGAAAGCTGTTCACAGAGAAGGAAATGGTCCCTCATCCTACCCACTCACCCGTTCTGGTCTCCTTACTGCCCAGGGACAAGGAGCTGAAGGAGACACCGTTCATTCCTCAGCATGAGCATTGACGAAGGTACAGAGAGAACCCTCTGTGTCTGAGTATCACAAGTTAAAAATAAAAGGTAGCAGCTGGTATTTGTTTTTGAACACAGAGTTAATTCTTTCCACTAGCAAATCATGGTCCAATAGATGTCCAGTTCTGACCAAGAGAATTATCTGTTCCTCTGGGGAGATAGAGTAGAAGTTCCCTAAGAACTTGAAAAAGTTTTCTCCTCCTTTCTGTTTCCTATATGAGAGGGAAGAAAAAGCTACAGGTATGGTGACTACCATCCAGTATAACAAAGGTGTGCTCTGAGTTGCAGTCTTGCACCCTGTGGTGTCAACTGCCCATTCTAGCTAAAATATGGGTAAGATTTGAGTCTTGTAGCCACCTCAGGTTTTTAAAATAGCTACAGTGATGTCTGGAGCTTTCTGATGAGTCGGCGCCCTTGTATGAGACACAGCTGGGGAGACTGGACCTGGGGAATCTACTTTCTCCTTCCCCATTTCCTGGGGGTGGTTTGCCAGGCATTTACTGCCGGGCTTGGTCTACAGAATAGGCCTAACTCAAGATGGTAACTTTACCCTTCCCTTTTTGGGGACAGGGGACAGATTGAATCGTTCAAGATCTTTGGGGTCTTTTTTCAAAATTTTAAATTTGTACTAAAATTGATAGCTAATACCCTGAACCAGGAGAAATTACACCTTAACTGTGTCTTATTTAATCTGCAAAGTGTCACTGCCAGTGATAACCTTAGCAAAGACATGATTGCAAAATTGTTTATGACCTTTGACCAACCTCACACCTGTGACTGATCGATTTCAAGAAACAGCCAATAGCTGTCCACCGTCCACATTTTTGGATTACTTAGAACATAAATGTACTATTGAAGAATGTGCCAAAGGGATTTTGTACTTTTGCAAGTCAACAGAAGTCAGTAAAGAGGCGGTGTCCTTGTCAGTTTATTTTGGAATTTGCATCCTCTATCATTTCATTCTCACTTTATATAAATAATCATACCCAGTGAGCAAAGTCACCAGTGAACTAGAATTAGGCCAGTGAGCCTGCTTGGCAGAGTAGAACTGTCACACTGCTTCTAATATAATCTCATTGGATCCCGACCCTATGGGAACCCAGTTAACTTCCGTGAGGAATGAATGGCTCAGACTCATTCCGTTTTTCACATTATTGTGTACTTCTTCCCCACCACTTACAACGATTGGCTGATTCGCAGTGTATGGCAGTGTCTGAAAAACTGGGGAGATGTTCCCTTTCTTTGTTGATGAAATTATGTATTACATAACCTTATAGCTTTTTTCTTTTATAATATTTGTTGTAGAATAAATGGTCACACGTGTACTTAGCCATTAACTTAAGTAGTAGAACATTTTCAGATACCTAGAATCCCCCATTCGTCTTCCCTCCGCACACCGTAAGAGGTAAACATTACTCTGGAGGTGTTTTTTTGGTTAACAATTCTCATGTTTTTATTTATATCTGCCATCTATGTGTGTATCCCTTATAAGTTGTTTAGATTTGCCTGTTTCCGACTGTTATGCGAGTGGTATTATGCCATATGTATGCTTTTGTGACTTTTTTCTAACAATTGTTTTTGAGATTCCCATTTATGTATGTATGTAACTGTGTTTCATTTGTTGTCACTGCTGTATAGTAATCTATTACATGACTACACCTCAGTCTATCCGTCTGTTCATGGAGATTTGGGTTGTTTCCAGTTTCTGGTTACTAACCAACAATGCTGCTCTGTACATCTGCCAGTTACAATGTAAGCTCTGTGCGGGCAGGGATTTTGTCTGTTTTGTCGAATTTTGTCTGTTTAGGCATCCGTGATGTCTAGAGCAATGCCTGGCACGTGGTAGATGCTCCACATACATTGGAGGAACGAATGAATTCTTGTACGTGGATCCTGGTAGCACATGTGCAAGGGTTGCTCTAGAGCCGTTCTTTTCAAAGTGTGCTCCAGGGGCCTCTAAGGGCCAGAGACCCTGACCGGGGGTCTGTGAGGACAAAACTCTTTTCATAAAAACACCAAGACATTGTTTGTCCTTTTTATTCTCATTCTTCATGAGCTTAAATGTTTTCTGAATATATGATGGCCTCACACTGACAGCTAATCAAGTGTGTACTTGTGTTTGTTTTGAAAATGTGTCTTTTAGTTTCTAATATGGCACACTTTAATAAATATAGCCCACATGAACAACAGCAGTTTGAGATCCTTAGTTATTTTTAACGGTGATAAGAGGTCCTAAAACCAAACATTTGAGTCCCGCTGCTCTAAGAAGCAGGCTTTGCTTGGTCATGCAGAACTGTTTTCTAGAGAATTTGTATCATCAGTGCACACTCCCACTGGCTGTGGCTGCGTGTCCCGTCTTGGCAAACTCTTGGCCTTGACTGTCTTTTGTACTTGTCAGTTGGATCACTACTATTATGCCTTGTGTCTTCATGTGAGTTTAATTCACATTGTCCTGATTACTAATGAAATTGAGGTTTTTCTCACATATAAAGGTTTCCTCTTCTGTGAAATACCTATTGATGTCTTTTGCCCATTTTTTCTGTTTGGTGTGTGTCTTTTTTTCACTGATTCATATGATTTCTTTATATATTCTGGATACCAATTCTTGTCATTTAAACATGTTGCATATATCTTCTCCCAGTTTGTATATTATCTTTTGTAATTATATTGAATCTGTTGACCGACTTGGAGAAAATTGATATCTTTTCAATAGAGTCTTCCTAGCCAAAAATATTGTATGTCTCTCCACTTATTTGGTCTTTTAATATCTCTCAATAAACTTTAATAATTTTCCCCATAAAGGCCTTCATGTCTTATGTTAGATTTCTCCCTAGGCACTTTATATTTTTTTAATGCTATGGTAAGTTTTTTTTTTTATTACACTTTCTAGTTTATCTGGTTGTTGCTGATTATAGACATATTGGTGCTATGTGTTGATTTTGAATCTGGCAACCTCACTAAACTTTTATTAGTTTTAATAATGTATCTAGATGTTATTTTTGAATTTTTTGTATATCATATCATCTGCAAATAGGGAAGTTTTCTCCCTTTCTGACCCTTATACTTTTTTAAAAATTCTTTTTATATGTCTGCACTGCCTAGGACCTGCAGCAGTACGGTTGAAAAGAACTGATAATGAACGTCCTTATCTCAGTCCTGATTTAAAGGGAGTGCTTTCAACATTTCAGTTCAGTGTTTTTTCCCCACAAATGGCCTGTATGGAGTTAAGGAGATCCTCTTCTAGTTCTACTTTGCTAATAGTTTTATTATGATTGGATGTTGAATTTACTGCTTTATATTACCTATTTAAATGGTGCAATTGTTTTTTTCTTTAATGTTAATGTATAAAATTATGGTAATGGACTTTTTAATACTGAACCAACCTTTAATTTGTAGGATAAACCCAACTTGGTTATTGGTGTGTGTACATGCGTGCGCTTTAATGCATTTCTGGACTCAATTTGCCAGTGTTTTGCTTACGATATTTGCTCCTGTGGTCCTAAGTGAAATCAGCCTGTAATACTCCTTCCATGTCTGGTGGTTATATCAAACTTAGACTAGCCTCACTGAATGAGGTTTTTCAGTTGTCTGGAAGAGTTTCTGATTGGGCCTTGTCTTAAAGCCATTTGCCATTAAGAGAATTGTAACTGTTGTTTCCATTTCTTTAGAGGTTATAGGATCATTAGGATTTTGTATTATTGAGTCAGTTTTGTATATGTGCGGCCAAAGTGAGTACATCAGTTTTGATGATTTTTTCTAGTGATTTCATTTCACCTTAGTTTAAAAAATTTTTGATATGGTTAGCTATATTATGGTTAGACATCTTTTTAGTCTCCACATCTGTAGTTATCACCCTTTTTCATTCCCATTGGTTTATGTGTGCCCATTTTTTAAAAAATTTCCCAGGCCTTTGAATATTTAACCCATTAGTTATTTTTTAGAGTTCTTTCCAAATGTCAGGGGTGTGTTACAGGTATCTATTTGTTTCTTGGTGGAGATGTTGGGGACTGAAGTATTATAGTTTAATCTTTATTATTTTGTCAGAGGATATGAGCTGTAATTAAGGTTTTGGTTTTCTCAGATTTGAGAGTAGTTTTATGATTTATCATGTGATTGGTTTTCATACACGTTCCACATAAAGATGAAAAGAATGGTGTATTCCCCAATTGTGGAGTACAGTGTCCATTAAATCAGACTTGTTAGTTGTGCTGTGCAGACCTTCTTTACCGATTTACCTTATACTTGATTTCTTATTTCCTGAAGCCTCAAGATCTCATTATGATCAATTTCTCAATGTCTCTTGAAGTTGTCATTAATTGCTTTCTCTTCTGGCTTTATTATTTAGATACTACTGCATTTTGCCATGTATAATGCGCACCCACCTATTGGGCTCAAACTTTCAGGAAAAAAATCTTTCATTTTAATTTTTTAATTCAATTTTTCAATTCAATTATTTATTTATATTTAGAAACAAAGCCAATGATCATATTCCAGGGTATTATTTTGCATATGGGTGTCATTATTGCTTTCTAGAGTTACACTTTTAACTGCATAAGTAGAAACAAAATAATTAAAAATATTTATATAGAGACATAATTAGTACTACCCATGTATAATGCACACCCTTATTTTTCCCTCAAAAATTTGGGCAAAAAGGTACATACTATACATGGCAAAATATGGTAATTGAGAATTCTTCTATCTTCCTTGGTGAGTTGAACCCTTTATAATTATGCAGTGACCACGTATGTTTATTGCCTTTGCTTCGTTGTTGTTACTTACCACAGCAGTATTCTCGTTAGTCTTTATCTGAATACCTTAGATTTTTGTTTGGTCTTATATTGATATTTTAAGTTTGCAGAAGGCACTTAAAAAGATCAGAGAGAATCTGTCTTTTTAACTGGATAGTTTTGTACATTTCTATTTCTTGTGATTGCAAATATAAGTTGGACGTATTATTTCTAGGTCCTCATTATAAATTATCTTTTTTTTTTTTGTCTATACCCCGCCTTGTTGCCTTGCCTCTATTTTTCATTTTCTTATCCCCCCCCCCATCTGCTGGGTTTTTATTTTCATTTTTTCCTGAGTTCCAGTTGCTTTACAAATCTCATTTGTTCTTTGTAATCTTTTGCTCATTATTCGCATTTCCCATGCTTCTATTCCTTTACACATCACTACTTTTTTCCTGTTGAGTCCTTGAGGGTGATTCCACTGTTTTTAAACTATGTTGTTCCACTCATGGTGCCATTTTCCCTTGAGTTTAGTGATATTTTAAACTTACTGTCCTTGGAAAATAGGAATTATTTTAAGTATGGACTAAAATTGAAATCTTTGAGAAGATTTTCTCTGCTAGACACTGTTTGGCTACCAACATGCAAACATTTTATCAGCCTGAAGGTTCTGGGATTTCAGATCACAGACCTTGAGGGGCTAGCCTGTGTGAATTTGAGGGTGCTGGTGATGTATCCCCCTCCACTCGACACCAAAATTGAGCCAAGCACATTGCCTAGCTGTCCACTTCTCTGTGGAGGCCCTTAGACTCCAGTGAGCCTTGGGCTTCATGTCCAGTCCGCCCACTGCTGTTTCATGGTCTTGAGTACAACAGAATTCTCAGGACAAAGCAGGCTTCGGTGCTGGCTTACCTCACAGGTTGCCTGTTTTCACTTCCTTTTTGGAGTTTTGCAGGACTTCCATTTCGACTTGGATATATTTTAAATAGTGTGTATTATTTATTACTTATATTTTATCCAGCATTTGGTTTTGCAAACTGGGAGTTACTGAGGGTATCTAGACTGCCTTATAATGGGAAATGAAATCTAAAATTAAAATTTGCTTTATTTTGCCCTTGATGTAAGTAGGAAACATGGTATAGTCCATACAGAATTACAGGGTGCCTAGTTCTTCCTTTTGCACTGTCCTACAAGACAGCACTTTCATGAGACTGCTACTTGCAAGCTGAGAGAGAAACCATTTCTTAACATCTACACTCTTGCCCTGGCTGGTGTAGCTCAGTGGATTGAGCACAGGCCTGTGAACCACACGATCGAGGTTCAATTCCCAGTCAGGGCACCACACATTGATGTTTCTCTCCTTCCCTTCCCCTCTAAAGATAAATAAATAAAATCTTAAAAAAAAAAATCTACACTCTTCCTCCACAGCAGGGGTGTCAAGCTCATCTTCACCAGGGGACACATCAGCACCATAGTTGACTTCAAAGGGCCGAAATAATTTTAGGGCTGTATAAATGTAATCACTCCTTAACTGATAAGGAGTTGATATTACATTCAGCCCTCTGAAGGCAATGACAAGGCTGATGTGACCACCAGTGAAAATGAGTTTGACAACCCTGCTCCAAAGGAACGGCTCTGCTATTTCTTTAACTGGCTGTTGGCCCAAATATTACCCCTTTGTGTTCTTTGATTAGTCATTGCTTTGGTTTGGCTTGAAAAAAGGACTTGGATTTGGTTTCCTGTAAACCAACCATTGGGGATTATATATGCATGAAGCTTTCTTGGCCTACCTGACCTGGCTGAAAGGCACTGTCTTATGACTTATCTATGCCCAGCAACTTGCTTTCTATCAATTACCCAGTGTTTATGGTTCAGAAATATCTTTCATTCACATGTACTCTGAACTCTGGGAAACAGATGCAGAAGTAAGACACAAAATTGTTAGTTTGTTTTAGAGGACACTCAAACAAGACCTAAATTATACCATAAAGAGGCAAAAGTTTATGGTGTAAGGTAAGAATTTTTTTAATCTTACGTATTTTTTTGGAAGATGGAGGAATTACCTATCATTTGAGAACTTCACCCCCAAAACTAATACACAGCCACTAAATCACTACAGACAGAGCCAGCACATATTTACTGACGTTTTTTGGCACACTTGCGTTAACCTTGGCATAGGAGCTATTGTCAGCATTGCCTTGCACAAATATCTGTTGAATATGCAGTGCAGAAGGAAATTGTCTCTGGAAGTAAGGTCATAGGCATGTTTTTGAAGACAGGAAAATACTGGATAGGTATTACAGTGTAGAAGGAAAAAAAATACAAATAGCTTAACACATCACACGCCAGTATATGACATTAGGAAGATAAAATTCTAATGAAGTAGTAAAGCATCTCTACTCTAATGAGATATGAGGGGATAGAAGCACTAAAGTCACTTCTATCTATGGCTTAGTCTCTGAAGCCCACTTCTCCCTTAGAAACTCATAAAAGCACTATGTACAGAGTTATTTTTTGAAAAAGAAAAAAAACACCTTCAGGTTAGTATAGGGACTTAAATACTTACAAAGTTCTAGAGAAGAAAACATGACATTCAGTTCAATGCAACATAAGCCAAGAAAGAAGCCATCACATCACTACCTCTTATGTGCATGAAAGGGAATTACGTACCTACATGTTCCGAATGCTTATATTCTTTCAGAGTAGGAAAGCCATGTGACCCAAAGCTGACCCGATTTTACCTACTTTAAAGCTTTTAGTCAGTACTACTAGCAAATTACTAAATTTAGAAATTTGTTTTGGTATACATTGATATAAATTTTAAAGCCATCTAACTTTTCTTTACCTTGATTCTTAAACATAACCCAATCTTTAAACTAATTTTAGAGAAAGAATCTGATAACCAGAGACCAGTTGCTTTTTATCAGTTATATAGTGATGTGCTGCCTGGATCAAAGGGGAGATATTTCAAAAATACAATTCTATGTAAGTATTAAAAGCCTAAAAATTTTGCGTATCTGTTAACCCAGCAAGTCTAACTCTAAGAAATTATTTTAAGAAAACAGTCATGGATGAACACAAAATTCAATGAATTATTGTTTATAACCACGAAAAGATATGTATATTGTCAAAATGTCCCACAGAGGATTAAATAAATTATGCTTCAGCTGTATGATAGAATAATAGAGGAATAAAAATGGAAGACTAAAGACCTGGGAAAGATATTCACAATATATTCGGCAAAAAAGGCAGGTTATGAAACAGTATGCAAATAGGAGCCTATTTTTATAAAAATATACATATATAGCAAAGTAAAGGAAAAACAGTATTTATCAAAACATTGGTTCTTTCCACACGTAGGATGATGGTTGATTTTGTTTAACTTCTCCCCTTTTGTTTATTTGAATTCTCTGTGATGAAGATTATTTTTTAAATGGGAGGGGTAGTAAGGGAGTTATTAACCTTAGATTAGCCCAAATACGCCCCCAAAAGGCGCCTTCTGGCAAAGTAAATGTGTCTCTTCAGCCTACATCTGGGAAAGTGCTTCTACCTTATAAATGTATCCTGCCCAGATGAAGTTCACTCAAACTGTCCCCCTAAAGGCAGACTATACAATAAGCAATCATTCAAATACATATATAAAAGGAACCATACTCAAGTTAATTGAAAAATACAAATCCTCATTTTAAAAAAAAAGGAACCCAAGTACATACTACTAAATTATACAAAGTTACATTATCTAAGTTTAGTTTATTGCAAATAACAAGACAGCACACGGGATGTTGGCAGCTTCTGTTTCCCACCATTCACAGCACTCACTCAGTTCTTCATTTCATTCACTCACCCATGCAAAAAAAAAATAGGTATACACATAATGATGTCTGATGTTTCTTGGTTTCCATAGTATAACAGGAAACGACATTTCAATTATAAAGGTAAAATAAGGACATTTATCATCAGACTACAAAATTCCTCTTCTGAAAGAGGGATGCTATGATGTTGTTCAAAGATATGTTTTGGAAAAATCATATGCAAAGTGAAAGGGGCACCATTTCAAGAGCAGTAGGACTACATTAAATTTAAATGAGTTCCAAAATTCATAGTAAACAAATCTAGCCTTAACAAAAGTTCCCATAAGCTAAAATTATCTTAACAGGCACAATGAACAGTGTAAACACTGTTAATGGGCACCAATTTTAATAGGGCTGACAATAATTGCTTCTGCATTCATACTTATTTTTTCAATTACATTTTTTAAAAAGTGGTGCTGCTTAAGCTATGTTTTACAAAAAAATTAATTTTAATAAATATGGCAAATGCTAAAAATCTAGCTAGATTATCATGCAAGATATTATATAACCAAGACAAACTCAAATGTATAATAAAGGCAACTTGCATTCAAAATGAACTCTACCCTTATATTTTATTAAAAGGGTGAACATCGTGAATTAACCCAGCTGCTTACTTGAATTACAAAAGTAACATGATTCAATATGAAAATAAGAAACTGTCTACAAATCTGACAGTAATAAATTGCAATATACAATGCATACAGGAGTCATACAGAGCAACAAACTCTCGTACAAAACAAAAATATTTCAATACCTTTAAAATCCAAATTTTTCTTTAAAATCATCCATGAAAAAGATTCTCAAGTCAGAATTAACACCTCAATTAGTCAAGCATCAGGAAGCTACATTACAGCTATTTAATATACAAAGAGACATCATTTCACCAGTCCTTTCCTTCCAATGACTCTGGCTTGGGAATCACACAGACTCTCCTGCTTCTGTGTACTTCCCACTCCACCACTTCTTCCGATCATGAAAACTGAATCTGTTGGACACCAGGAATCTAAAAATAGAAAATTTAAATTGATAAGAATTAAAGAAAAAATAGTTTAAAATAACATGTATATTATGAACATTCAATGAATAAAAACAACAGGAAATTAAAAAGAAAACAGATGGTAAAGAGTAAGTCTACTCATCCCAAATCTCTTCTCTCCACCAAAGGGGAACCACTTTGTTAATTTCTTATGTATCTTTCTAGAAATCTTCTATGCAAATATGAACGTGTGTGTATTTTTAACCATCAGAGAATACTAGTTATCTATCTATATATATATACATATATGTATATATGTGTGTGTGTATGTATTTTTAAATATATACATTAAATTTTTTTTTTCAATCCTGACCCAAGGATGTGCTCATTGGTTTTAGAGAAGAAGGGAGAAAGAGAGGGAGACATCGACAGTTGCCTCCCGTGCATGCCCTGACCAGGAATCAAACCCACCTTTCACTGTACACTGTAACCAACTGAGCTACCTGGCCGGAGCAATAATATTTCATCTTTTTATAGGGTTAATAATTATGATGTGTTGAAACTAACTACTTGTGATCAAAATCAATGATCAGTTCTTTAAATAATTTAAAATACAAAGGTACTCTACCTGTTGATATGATGTTGTTGTGTAAACCATAACATTTTGTTGCTGACCATCTGCAGTTATTAAGCCAGCTGGTAACTGGTTAGCTGAAAGACAAAAGTAATGTCAAAGTGAGAAAAAAACTGCATCTTGGCCTGAACCATAAAATTGTGCCATTAATGAATGTCTCACTACAATCCTGCTGCTCATCAGTGTAACCATGGGCCCAATCATAAACCCCCAAATTTTCCATTTTAAAAGAGCTCCCTAAGAAGCACATTTCTTCTGCAACATTTTTGGTTTTCTGAATCTTCATTTCTCTGAAATGTACTTTAGCTAACTGCCCATGTATACAAATCTGAAGAAATGAGGTTCTGATTCACGGGTAGACCTACATCATGAGGTTTGGCTGGAAGCCACATTTTCATACCTAAGCAGCATATATTTTACATATTAGAAATGTAAAATGTATGCATATAAAGTTATAGGAGAAATATAATCATACAGACCTTTCATTTCACCATATGATAATACGATAATTAAAAAACAGTTCACATTCATTTAAATCACAAGATTTTATATCACAAAATGTAATCCTCAACATTCCTGTCTCATGTGAATCCTAAACCAAAACTTAGGGGCTGTGGAAATCTATCAGAACCACTGGAGAAAGATTATAACGTCTGCAGAATTTAAATTTTATACTTAGCTCCCACTGACTTCAAATATATGGGCATAACTAAGAAGAACTGTTCAAGACGGTGCTATGTCAAAATATTCAGTGCTGTTTTCCTAAAGTACCACTACAGGCATTAAATTTAGTTGCATAAATGTATCACAACACTGCTTACTAAATGCCTCCTCTGTTAGCTCTTCGCTTAGTCCGTCTGTAGTTGTGACTGCCCCACCAATTCCTTTCTCTCCTTTCATTGCCTGTGGAAGGAAAACCAAAAGAGTAACCACTGCTATTCAAAAGAAACTTCTCTAAATGAGAATGCGTACCTATTTCCTAAAATTAGGAGCTTCTGTTTTTACAAACACTACACAGAGTATTTATTAACACTTCTGATTAATTACATATGAAGAGGCCCTTCAAAATGCTAACTTTTTAAATTTTTTTTATTTATTTATCTTTTAGAGGGGAAGGGAAGGAGAGAGGGAGAGAAACATCAATGTATGGTTGCCTCTCGTGCGTCCCCTGCTGGGAACTGGCCTGCAACAAGTAGTAATCATCACAAAACAGTCTTAACAATAATCTAGAAAATCTAAAATATTTATGGATAAAATTATTCTAATTCCACACTACATCTAAAGGAAAATAGAACTCTACTCACAGATAAAATAACCTGTAAAAGACTATAAATATTCAGCTTATGATTCTACTACAGATGATCCAAGTTATCAATAATATATGTAGTCTCCAGCCACATGGCCAGTACTGTAACAGCAAGTTTGGAGTTTAAAATTTCTTTCTTTTTTCTTAACACCAAAGGTACTAAGAAAATATTTTGAAAGCAAAGTGAATCTTACACCAAACTTGCAGTAAGGAAATGTACAAGAATTCAATCAATAATAAGAAAGGAACATGGTTATAATTCCCTCCTTTTCTTACTTAAAAGGCCCCAAGCTTTGAGATGCATACACTAGGATCGCCGAGCACGCTTATTGCCGAGCACATATACATGCCAAGCTCAGTGAGGTACACAGGCTGTTCCGCTTAGCGCTCTCAGTAAAGCAGGGAGACGGGCACTGTGGGTAGCCTCACTTTATAGACCAGGAAACCAAGGCCTACAGTACTTACATAACCTGCCCAGGACCACAGAGTTCCCATGTGCTGGAGCTGGGATTCGCCCTCTGGAGTCCACCTTCTTAATCATTATGTAACTATACTACTGTTATTAGTAATTACAAAGGAAAAAGAAAGGACTTACAGTAACTTAAGTGATTACACACGTCTGAGAAATGTTACATATTTTACCATAAAATGAATTTTTAAACATTTTAAAAGTTAGTGAACAGTATATCTTATTTTTTTAAAAGGATAATGGAAGACATTCTACTTACCTCTCTGAATTTCTGAAGGTATAATTTTAGAGGTTCTACATAACTGTCAAAGCCTAAGGTAGACATGGCAAAAAGAATATCTTCTCCATTGATTGTCTTCCGTTTCTCTTGATGGCATCTTTCACTTGCTTCAGATGTTATAAAGCTGATGAACTCACTTACACATTCTTGAACACATTCTTTGGCATCTTTTGCAATCTGAAGAGAAAAATTACAGGTAAATTTGCAGGGAATATAATCACCTTCCCAACAACCTGCAAAATAAAAGACTGTTTATGCAGAAGAACACAAACTTCAGTTTATGACTCTGAACCTTTAATCTTTGAAATACATGCTAATAATGTTAACACATTTGTGCTATTAAAATTCCAACTCTCAAAGTGAGAATTAAAAACTTAAATACAAGGCTTCTGCCTTGACACCTATTCACAGAAAACATACAATTTAAGTATAAAAGCAATCACTGGATGTCCCCACCACCCCACAATGAAAACTCATTAACTAAGTGTCCCAAGGAAAATCAACCGGGCAATGTGTCTAGCTAGTATACTGTGGGCTACAGACTTAAGTAACACCAACATTTAAAAAACAAACACACTGAAGTCACATAAGGCTTACAAGGAAGTGAAATATGACATCTGGTGACACTTTTCCTGCTAAAAATGTGAAGTGTCAGATTTTTTAGTTTTTTTAAAAAGCCTACTTTACTTAAGCACACACCTGCCACCTCATAAAAACAAGTCTTCTCGTAAGGGTCTAGGCTCTGAAAGTAAAGCTCTAGTGGACTAAATCATGCAATCCCAAAGCCACTTCTAACAGGAATGATACTCAAAATCCTTGCTGAAACACAGTGTCTTTCATCTCCATGCCTGCCTATGTTAGGTCCTGGAGAAAAGTAAACCAGAGCTGGCTAAATGCAGTCAAGCAAGGTAATTATGTTTTATTTAACCCAGTAAGCCTAAAATATTAAACACAGGATCAATTAAAAACTGAGATATTTTCATTGTTGTTTTTTATTCAAGTCTTTAAAAGCTATTTGTTTTATATTTACAAGCACATCTCAATTCGTTCACTAACTCAAGTGCTTGATAACCATATGTGGTTAGTTTTTTCCCTTAAAACATTAAGAGGATCTCTCAAACTGGAACTACTAAGCTGAGTGATGTATTTAAATAACATTTATTTACAAGCTTTTATTACTTTCACATGTACTTTATAAGCTACAATAAAGTACACTATATGTAATATATATATATGTATTATATAAGCTACAATAGCTCTTTCTCCCCCTAAGCATTAGGATCGAAAGAAGTGCTTGACTTGCTGAAAGGCTGTAATCAACAGTTGACTGTAGTCATGAACTACCAGCTTCTCCTCTGCATTACCTTCCCTGTCTGAGGGATGGCGTTTTTCATTATCCTTGCCACATTTGCAATGGGAAGATATATGTCTTGTTCTCTGAAACTTTCTTTTGAACCATTTGTGTCTTCATGGTCATTCATGCTGTCCTCAGTATCTATGAAGAAAAAATAATTTAGGTTTAAAGCTTGTAATTTTTACCTCAAGACAGAAGAAAAGACTATCTTATCTACAACCGTCTAGGATAAGAACTATTTTGGGCCATTTCCTAATCCTTTCTAGGGATTAGGATAGTAGTTCTTTTTACCACCTTCTCAGGACTAGAACTAAATGGACGTGGACTCGTTAGTTTGAAACCCACTGTGTAGAACACATTTGTTTTCAGTTCTGCCTACTCAAATCCTACCTCCCCATTCTCCAAAAAGCTCAGTGACATCTCCACAGCATGAATGATATTCCACAAAATATCACAAGTGTCTCTATGCATCTTTTTGGACACATTTTATAATTCTTTTTACTTCTGATTCCCTCATTTAGATTTTTCTACTTGAGGCCAGAGATCAGCTTTCTGTCCTTCCTAGGACTTGACAGCACCCTCCACAGAGGAAGTGCTCATAAATGTGTCCCATGACTCAGCTATAAAACTTACAGACCTTGACCGATAATGATGGTTCCCTGCATATTGCTAGATTAAAAGCTAATATGTTTATCCAAAGCCAAATTTATATAGTAAGGAAAAACTGGACTTGAATATTACTGATCCAATGGGTTATTACTAGTGCAGTAATAGTTTTAAACAAAGCTATAGCAGTAATCCAACATTCTTACAAAAAGTGAATTTTCAAATTATGTAGATTTAGATAAAACCAAAGCTTTCACAGTACCAATAAGATCCTTTTATGATTAAATGCATTATCTTGTAAGTAAAAATACCACTCTTGATATGAATTGAGTAAGAAAGGCACTTAAGCTGATTCAATATACATTTTTGTGTATAAAGTGATGTTATCAAAGTTAACTTGCTTATGTTTTAGAATGAAATAACTAATTGTCCTCCTATAATTGCCTGCTACAAAAATATATCTTAACGTTTTTAATCTTGTAAGTCAGAATGCTATAAAACTAAGTTATTTATAACAGGCCAACATAATACTGCCCATTCTAAGATCGGCATAGTTCAAACCTAATGTTGAATAAAAACAAAAATAATTCTGTTCATAGGTACTAGAAATAGCTAGCAACTTACCCTCTAAAGAACTATTTTACTGTCCCAACTGAGAATTTTTCATACTTAATTCTCACATAGGAAATTAGTCACAATTTTTTAAAGAAACTTTAAAAAGGCATACTTTTATAGAACTCCTTTCTAGGACTCATCAGTCTTCGAAGACTATTTCTCATTAAAATAGCAGGGTATGCCTTTTTAGATTTTTCACTGAACTGTGACGCAAGATTGCTAATTTTCCTGTAAAGACAAAACCTAGAACGTCATGTTAATAAACTTCCACTTCCAAATCTGTTTCTACTTGTGAATCCGTTCCCATGCGTGGCTTTCTTACCATCGTGAGGCTGTATGACATAGTGACTGCCCCCTATGTAGTCTGCAGAGATCCCGAGCTGGGAAGCATCTGTTGTGGAACTGTCACCGTCCATCTATGAGGGGAAAAAAACCTTGTTCAATGTTCTTCAATAAAACTTGCCTTAAAAAACAACAGACTCGATGCTCATGAAATGTCATAGGATGGGTCAGTTACATTGTTCACAGCTTAAGCTTACTAAAAGAAGACATATTTCTTGATTTGGAAACCTTTTGGTCAGCTACCCAAAAGTCCCCTATCCATCCTCCATAAGTGATAAGCGTAAGACCGACATGAGGAAATGAACCTAAAACACACACCTCTTCTCAACTGCATAATCCTCAAACACAGTACAGGCAACCCTGATTTAAAACCTAACTTATCCCACCAGCCCTGGCTGGTGTAGCTCAGTGGATTGAGCGCGGGCTTGCGAACCAGACAATCGCGGTTTGATACCCAGTCAGGGCACATACCAGGGTTGCAGACCGGTTCCCTGCAGGCCACTTCCCAGCAGGGGAGGCACGAAAGGCAACCATACATTGATGTTTCTCTCCCTCCCTCCTTCCCTTCCCCTCTAAAGATAAATAAATTTAAAAAAAAAATAAAAAGCTTTCATTTAAAATAAAAATAAAATAAATAAAATAATAAAACCTAACTTATCCCTAGATCAACAAGCAAAACCAAAATGAGTAGTCTCCTTGCAAAGCACCCAGGTGCATCACTTTCAGTTCTGCTAAAGCCTAAAATTCCTAGGCAAACCCTTTCGTCACTGATGCAGACTTTTTTTGTGGTCTCAGAGTTCCACAATGGACAACGTCTTGGTTCAAACTGTTGTTTGGGGTAAGAAGCATATGGATTCCTTGCCTAATCGATACCGTGTTAACCATACGTGCACTCACATTTTGAATGAGCCCATCAACGTCTAATTTTTTAAAGAAAAAAGAAAAGAAGGGGACAAGGAGACTGGAAAACTGCATGTAAGGATAGGAAAATTACTCTCATATAACCACAGACAAGTGAGTTGCCATTTGGAGGAAAAAACAAAAAGACCTTCTTAATTAATTTTGCTCAGAGCTAAAAGAATTCTAAGAGGAAAAATCTGGAGGGAAAAAAACCCATTAGTTTTAAACTGGCTACATTCCATTTCACGACACGGTGAGTCCTGGAAGTCTTTCTGCTCCACAAATAATGCTAAGAAACAGGGGCTGGGGAGAGACAACAAGGAGCTGGCTAACTGTGAGGAGAAAAATCTTTAATGCATTATCTGAATAAACAGTGTAGCAAAATTTAAGTGTAATTTATACATGCTTTGGGCCAAATCAAGAGACACTTGATCCTAAAATGTTCAAGGCCCAGGACCAGCACAAACTTGACATTGTTACCCGCAGTATGAGTCCTTGTTGTAACACGTGTCTTCTTTTCCATCTCTGTTGGATTTTTATCTGATAACTAAAGTACCCAGCTAGTTTCCAAGTCTTTAATAACTTGGCATTTCTTTGATGCATCTTGTGACTGTGGCATCTAATTTAATCGTAGATACACTTCCATAATCTAGTTGGAAACTAGACTTCAGGACTCACCATGTTGGTGAAATGGAATGTAGCCAGTTTAAAACTAATGGTTTTCTCTGTTTTTTCCCTCCAGATTTTTTAAAGGGAGTCGAGAACAGAATTCACCTAACCTTAAATAATGTGTGAAAGTACAGGGTACGTATTTACTGATACTTCTTAGTGGCCTCTAAGAAGTGATAAACACAGTGAGCTCTGACTCTGACTTCTACTGATCCCTGGAAACAAGCACCCCTACTGGTTAAGTGTAAAGTAACAACATCGCCTTCCCCATCCTAAACAGCTGATAAAAATGAATGTGAACATCACCCAAATACGAAATGCTATATTAATCCTAAAATGCAAACAAGATACTAGGAAGTAGTCTCTAATATACTGACAGATATGATGATGGATTTACTAGCCGTAAAAAGCTCATTGGAATAGCTCCAAACTGACTCCTTTTTACAATGCCCTAGGTGAGATCAAGGTGCTGGAGACAGGGCCAGTGGTTGTTTCAAACACGTTTCAACTAAAACCAAATCTTTTTTTAAGTGGGGGGTACAAAAACCGTAAATCATTTCCACAATGAATGTCCACAGGATATACCACGAGTCTTTTAAAATTAGCTAATAAGGACACTATTCAAATAATTAGGGTCTGGGAGATTAAGGTATAAATACAACGTAAAAAGTATTACAAGACAAAAAGTTTAAACCCCATTATCTTATCATACACTGGAATTAGCAGCAAGATTATCGTTTGGATTAAGAGAATTAGTCTCTAAACCTCGGTCTTGTAAAAAATGCTTCTGAAAGTGTTTCAGAGTTGTCAGAATTAAACAAAGAACAGAAACCTGCTAAGGACAGTGTCTGGTATGGAGAGTACTCAGGAGATATCAGATATCACCCTCCCTCCTTTGGAGATAAGCCACAACGTCTTCTGCTTGGTTGTGTGTGTCTTGGGTTCTGAAAGTTTTAGCTTTCCTGTCATTTCACCAAACCTGTCTGCCTGCCTCTCCACTATCGACCATAAAAATCTGTGCCCCATACTTAAACCCAGTATTCCTCCATCCTCCTGAAACCTTTTGGGTTTACTGCGTTCTGTAAGCCAAAAATTAGTGTTCCCATCTCTGAATCCTCAAGGTTTTAGTATCTTCCATTCAACATATTAGCCTCATCTTTGATGCTTACAATATGCTATCCATATATGAGGAATTGGAGGGGGGGGCTTACTACATACACCCCAAAGGCTTTTTTCTAGGTCTAAAACATCTTATACAAATTTGCAAAACAGATTACAGATTGTGAGCAAGCCAGTCAACAAATAATTCACCCAGGAGACACTTAGTATTTATCAGGTCTGTGCTATGTGCTAGCGATGAAGCAGTCATTGACACAGAAGTCTCTGTCCTCATCTTGCAGAGAAGACAAATGTCATTACATAGACTGGGGGCACAGGAAAGGGGTGGGAAGCACAGCCTATTAGTATTTCCAAGGGGCAGGTTCTAGAATCGCATCACCCAGTTTGAATTCCCTACTACTTACTGGTCATGAGACCTTGAACAAGTAGGATGAGACTAGAACTCAACACGTAAAGACACCACTGTATAATAGCAGCACTTAGTAAATGTGATATATGGCTATTAATTAACTACCTGTTAGTGCTAAGGAAAACAAAGATGTCTTGTTATATACTTTGGGAGTTTATTCTGAAAGGGATCTCACTAGTGTGAGGAGTCAAGGAAGGCTGTCTTAGGAAATATTTAAACTGACGATGAAAGATGAGTAGAAATTAGGCAAGATAAGATGGGAAAAGAATGTTCCAGACAAAGGAAATAGGGAAATACAGTCCTGGTGGATAGCAGGGACTAGGTCAAGCAGTGCCTATGGACAAGAGCAGATCCAACAAGAGTTTTAGCAAAGAGAGCAAATCAACTTCTTTTTAAAAGATCACTCTGGCTATAGCCCAGCGTACAAATGAACTGAAGGGAATTAAGAATGGGGGCAGACCAGCGAGGACCATACTGCTGCAGTCAGGGCATGAGTTCAGGCGAGACGATGGTCACGCCCAGTGTCTGGAGATGGAGAGAACAAAGAGCTGAAGAGACTTGAGTGGTCGGTACAGTCAGCAGATGTGGTAACTGAACAAAGAGGTAGAGGAAGAAATGAAGATAATGCTGGGATTCTTATAGCTCCTCTCCATCACTACGGAGAATGGTGAAGGAAGCACATGAGTGGTGGGCAATGCAAAGGGCCTGAGTGAAGCTGGTGACCACGAATGTAGAGTGGTACCAGTATGCCCACGTGTACATGGTACACATACCTGGTACGTGAACAGAGAAGCTAAAGTACCGGAGTCTATGCAGACAACAAGGGAAAAGGGCCATGTAGGAAAATGATGAGGGAACAAGAGAAATGGTGAACCATTCGTTTCAAGGGAACTAGTAAATATGGACAAAGGCTATTTAAACCCCATCAATTAACTTAGTGACTATTCTATTGATTATTTACTTCAAAAACAGTGTTCTCTAATATATGTGAAATTAATGGTCAGCTGGCTAAGCCAACAAATGTTTATTCTCTAATTTTTCCATGTAGCATTATTTAAACTATACTACTAATCTGTTGTACAAAATGCGGTACACAGCGCTCTCTTTAATAAGTTTAACACTTATCGAACACTTTCTAAATATTTCATGCAGTGTTCACAACCCTGTGAAGGAGGCGAGAAAACCGAGGCGATAGGCAGCTGACTTGCCAAAGGGGACGCGGTGCGTGGGACTGAAAACCAGGGCTTCAGATGCCAAGTACTTTGCAGTATTTGTTACTGATAGTTTTTCCTATAGTCCTTATGCCTAAATCTTTAATTTGCCCCTTTGAAACTGTAAGTCTACCAACTGTACAGTGAAAACATTTAAAGTTACTCCTGAAACGAGGACAATATTGTGAAACCGTAAGAAATACACCTGGTTTCAGATTCTCACCAGGAGGCAGTAATGGAACGCTGGCTCCTAAACAGACCACCTGGGTTTGAAGCTGGGCTTCCACTTACTAGCTGTATGTCTTTACTTACAATCCTCTTTGTGCTTGGGCTTCCCCGTTTTTACATGGGGTTGCTATGAGAAGTGAAGTTATTATATAAAAAGCACTTAGCAAAGAGTGTGATACATGGTAAGAACTTGACAAATGAAATGCTGCAGGATTACCATCCTTGCAAACACAGTTCTCATGCTTTCCAGGCATAAAGGGTGGACTCCCACTTAACCTAATTAATCGTTTTCAATTCCGCCTTAATGGCTGATAAAAAATCTCAGTGCTAGAACGTGTCTTACTTAGGGATCACTGCATGCAATTCTATTTTAGCAGTGAGGCTCTAGGAAGGTGTGACATGCCTGATGCCACAGATATGGTGGCAGACCCAGAAATAAGTACCCAGACAGACCAAGTGGTATCTCTCCACTAGACTGTCCCGTGAAATCCCCACCTGCACATGGACCATGCAGCTGTACTCTCCATCCCCTAATCGTAAGTTACTCATCTTCAGGCTTTTGGATTTGGTGATACCCTGCACCTCGTCAAATGCCATTCATCCTACAAGGTTCATTCCCAAATACCCAGGCCTACCATACCTTTCCTCTTTTCATTTGTACCATCCTTAGAACAGCATTTTTCATTCCCCACGTAACTGTTCTCGAAGTATTCAATTTGACTAAAGCCCTACCAGATAAACAGCCTCTTAAGAGCTGGGACAAGCTTTTTATTCTATAGCTTTGACAGCACTCAAGGGCCCACAGGAAACACCTGCTACGTGCCAAATCACTCAGGAATGAATATAGGTGTTGTCTAGACTTAAAAGGCATTCATCCTATCAGGAATCTCCAATATAAAATCAGTTCTGATTTTGTTTCCAGCTAATTACTGTGCAAATCTAATTAACAACCAAAATGGTAAAACCTACTGTCATGAAACACTGTCAGAGCCGTGTTGTCAGTAGCGTCCAAGAACACCAGTCCACGTGGTCCGAGGCAGCGTCTAATCCTTGCCCAGTGCCAACCTGGAAGATAAACGTGTATTTGTAGTAAAATGTACAGCCTACAGGCTTTCTTCCTTGTAAACTTTTAAAAGGCACATATAATTTTACCTGCTACTCTCATTCAGTGGAGTGCATGGTATCAATAGTGCAAAAAGCAGGCACCCAATAAATGTTTGTTAAATTGGAAGATTTCGGAGGACTCAAATTTTAAAAGTTGATTCCATTTGCGGGGGGGGGGGGGGGGGGTTTGCTTTTCCAACATAACCCTGAATTTAGTCACGCTCACCAAAAATATTCATCACAAGACACCAAATTATGTAATGTGAATGGGAGACCAACAATTACACATCTAAAATACTCAAAATGCCAACACCCAAAACACAGTATCAACTTAAGTTTGGGGGGATGGTCTCTTGTTTTAGAATGAGATTCGGGGGTCCAAAAGCTTTGAAAGGGAAGAAAATTTTATCTCAAAATATAATGCTTCTAAATTACGTATCTGGGATTATACTGGAAAGAAGATACATGCCATCCCGAGAACAACACAATCAATCGAGGACTCTATTTAAAATTTTAAAGCACTGCCACTCTGGACTACAATTTCATCTGAATAGCTCTTCAATAAATTGGTATCAATTACATGTTACAATCTCCATTTCTCATTGGTTCATTTTTTCAAGTGAAACAAAGGAGGGGGTGTCAAAACAAAATCATCCTTTCAGTGTTCATTTTAAAGGAAAAAATACTCATATGCATTCCAGCATGAAATCTAATAAACAACAGAAAAAATTGTAGCCACTGAATTGCATTTTTAAAAAGCCATTAGGAGGGCAGAGGCAGCAAAGACAGGCTGACATTCCTGCTATAATCGTAAAAGCAATTTTTAATTTCTTTTCAAACACTGTCCTCTTTCTAACCCCCAAATTGCCCAGGCAATTCTTTCCTTATAGCTAGAAGTGTTATTTAAGTGTCGGAAAAATTTTTTCCTTGGAATATAAGAAGCATATATGTGTGTATTTTGCTTGGGGGTTGGGTGGTCTGCACCTCACTACAATCACCCCAACAGTTGAGTACTTTAGATTCGGCATATTAAAGAAAAACGCTATCATCTCATATGGTATGTATTTTCTTAAAGGCAGATTATATGTGAAAGCTCAAGTGAATGCATACATCTGTTTAATGTTTGGAAAAAATGCAAATTTGTATCCAAGAAAAGCAGCAGACCCTTCCTCCACCCTCCCTCCTCCGGCTTCAACAACCCGAGTTTTGCATCAATAGTTCTTAAATTAAACTACAAGAGCAGTGCGGAACAAGAATAACTGAACTGCCTTCTAAGTAATGCTGGTTAAACTTTCAATAGTTAACAAATAAAACTCCTGTTTATTAAAATGCCACTTGTATTGATTGGTTTACCTCATCACTCTCTGTTGCTCATTAGTTTGCATACTGATGCCCAAACCATCTCGGTGAGTGATTCGTGGCACGACCCACGGAACTGTTTAAGTCCAAGAGGCTTAGTGGGGAGCTGTTTTTTTTTGTTTTTTCAAAGGTGGTATGCTGCCTAAGCTTGCTTAAATTATCTTGTTATAGTACTTTGGGGGAAATTACGACTTGTGGGTGCACTGTAATTCTTTGTTCTCGCAGACTAATACTGCTCCTAAGGCCCCACACATCCTCCCCGCCTCCCACCCAAGACTAAACCTTAGTCCAATTCAAGTCTTCCTTCCCACCTTGGGGGCAAATCCAGGGACCGCAAGCCGCCAGATGGCTGCATTCTGGTGCAAACCAGACTGGGGAGACCAAACCAATTCCTTCCTCCCGGGGACCTCGCTTCCTCCCGACGAAGGTGCGCGGGCTGGCCCCGGCCCCACAACCCCGCCGATCTGTCAGTCCCGCACTGACGCCCTGGCAAGCATCCCCCGGACTCGCCCAGCCCCGGCCCCGGCCCCGGCCCCGGCCCCGGCCCCGGCCCGCGCCCAACGCCTGCAGCCCTCCCGCCGTGCTGTGCCCGGGGTGCCGGAGCAGACAAAGCGGCCCGGCCCCGCATGCCTCCGCGGGCGGAAGAGGGGAGCTCCCCGGGGACCCCCGCGCGGCTGCCAGGCCAAAGGGGCAGGGTCGGAGCCAGGGGTCCGAACCGCATTCCGCCCCCCCCGCCCCCTGGCCGGGTTCCCGCACAAAATGGAGCCGGCCCGGGCGCCGCCGAGAGGGGAGCCCGACGGGGCCCCGGCACCCCTTCCTCGGCGTCCGGCCCGGAGCTCGGCAGCCGCAAGCGGGAGGCGGCCTGGCCCGAGTCCCGCCGCTCCTCGGCCCGGCGCACAAAGAGCCGCGCCGCAGCCCGGCGCCCGCTCCCCGGCCGGGCCCGCAGCGGGAGCGGCCTCGCAGGCGCCGAACCGGCCCGGCCCGAGCGGGAGGGCGGGCGTGAGGAGGCGAGTGCCCCCGGCCGCGGCGGCGTTGGCGGCGGGGACGGCGCCGGGAGGAGACGGACATTTCATTCGAGGTAAAGTGGAGTCGGTTTAGGAGCGATCATTGGCCGAAGCGAGACACAAACCTCCAATGCAGCCCTGGTTGGCTCCCGTCTCCAATCGGCTGTTTGGTTGGACAGAAAATGGCTGCGAAGGAACCAGTCCCAGCGCGGAGCTCCGCTTCCAGCACTCGGCCTCCCCTCCCTCCGCCGCGGGCCGCTTCCCTCCGCGCGACGCCCTCCCTCCGCTCCTCCCGCTCGCCCGCCCTCCGAAGCCCCGCCCCAGCCCCACCGCGTGCGCGGAGCCACCACCCCTGCGCGAGCTTGCAAAGCTGGGTGCGGGCGGCGGGGTGCAGGTTTAGCGGGCCAGCGGTGTATTTGCGGAGCCGGGCTTCCAGGGGCCAGGATCCCGCGCGCCGCTGAGGTCTAGGCGGGCTTTCTTCCCACGGTGTTTTCCTGGGCCTCTGCGAAACAAGATTTCTCAGGCCTGCCTCTCAGCCCCCACCCTCTCTCACGTGGAGGTGTATCACCCGCCCGGGTGCAGCCGGTCTGCGCCTCGATTTTTAAGAAGGGGAAACCAAGGGCAGAAGCTGCCGTCCAGAGCGACACCCGAGCCACTGGGTGGATTTGAACGGCAGTTACCTCCTGGACCGCCTTCAGCACCTCGTGTTTTCCTTGTGTCCTTATTAACTTTGCCAAATACCCAACGCCCCCTCTGACTGGGTCTCTTGAGCTTCGGTGTTCGCTTTTCGGATTTCATTTAAAGACACAATCCTCTCCAGATTTAACAGATCTGTCAGTCTAGCCAGCCTGCACCCCAACTTAAAATTGTTGCATTTCCTGCTCCGCTCCCCCCTCCCCGCCCTAGTAGTTGCAGCCTGACATGTGGCTTTTCCCCACCAGATGACATTTAGGCAGCAAGAATCTGTGGCCTCTTCTTAGTGCAGCCAAGTTCCCTCGCTGTCTTTCCCCGACTGCAGTCTGGGTCGGACTTCCCTGGGCTGCGACCATCACCGATGGGCGGAGAGCCAGAAACCACTCATTGCAAAGAGTGACAGGATTTCTGCACAGGGAGCCGGGAATCGCCTTCCCTTTACTTCCACTAAACAAGTGGCATGGTGCCACATTAAACTTTCCAGCTTTAATCATTTAGAAATATATAGGCATGTTTTATTTATAAAGCTCCTACTGTTTCTCTGCATATTTTAACGTTTCCGGAGCAAATAAGTAAAGACAAATGAAAGTCTCCAAATTATTCCAAGAGCAGCACGGAGCAATGCCGCTGTGGAATCAGACAACCTGATTTGAATTCCAGCCCCTCTTCAGGGCTTGTGACCCCGATAAAATTGCTCTACATCTGCGTGATAGTTTCCTTACCTCCACAATGGGGGTAATACTAGCTATTTCTTAGGCTTGTTTGGCATTAACATAAATACAAATAAGTCCTAAAAATTTTTTGGTTCATTATCTCAAGATCTTTACGTGATACAAATTTGAATCTCCGTCAAACTTTTAAAAACTGTTATTTGCTTAAAAGGAATAAAAATGGCCTGTGTTTCACGCCTCCTTTTCTCTATGATTACCACTTAGGTGGAGCTTTAGGAGTGAAATGAGTGCTCAAAGGCAGGAAATACAAAAAAGAAGTAGTAGAATCAGAAGTATGACTAATCCACACGCTGGATGATGAACCAAAAGATGCAAAGATGACTTTTCTCTGAGCTAATGTGTTATTAGGTTTAGGTCCCTAAATCTAATCTACATGCTTAACTCAGATTCAACAAAAAGGTTATTCAGCTCCTACTGTTTACCAGGCACTGTGCTAGGAGCCCCAGGGCTACGCAGGTGAAAAAGCACCCTCCTTCCCCTGGGACCTATACACTGGTGGAAACAGGGGACCTAGTCCACACTCTTTCTGCAGTCCTTCCATACCTGTATTCAGGAAGCCCCCCAAAAATGCTAACCATGTTTTGTGATCACGTGGTGAATGAGAGAGCTGTGGATCACAGTTTAGTCTTCGGAAAGACATTAATGCTCATCTAGGCCTTGCATTAAAGTCAGAGGACAGGTGACCGCATGGTGTAGGGACACCACCGCCGCCCCTTAGTGTATACCACCATTGATGAGTCATAATTCAGCAAACAAAACAATCTCCGGCACGATGAAGACTTCTCCGTTGGATTTTACTTTATTAAAGAGGCCTCATAGAATTTCCAAAATTATAGTATTGTCTCCATTTCCGATGATCTGATTGGTGTCTTGCCCCTCTCTTCTCAGTCGGTTCTGTGTACTGGAGGCCTGGGGGGGGGGGGGGTTGGTCTCTGTTTCCTTCTGCCCCTGCTACCCACCTCCCCACCTTCTATACACATGGGTCTTGGCTCTGCTACACACACACACACCAGGCTCCAGCTTTAAAGTCTGGCTTCTTTTCATCTTTGAGGTCTAACCTCTTCAAAGAGGCTTTCTCTGACTCCTCCTTTGAAAGGAGCCCCACCCAATCACTCTCTATAATGCCATCCAGTCATTTCATCCTATGTAAAAGCAAATGTGTACACTCCAGCAGTTTAGCTTGATTGGATTATCTTAGGTTTGTTGTTCTTGTTATTGACAAGATAAGTATATCCCAAGTGGGAACCTTTCTCATTAACCACACAACTATTACCCTGATTCAAGCCACATTTCCTTTCACCTCCTAGCTGGTCTCCCTGCTCCTGCCCTGGCCTACACAGCAGCCAGAGTGAGCCAAGTTGAACAAAGGAAAAAACTCATTGTTCTTTGGCCATACTGCAAGTAACTGCTAAATTCTGTTTTAATCAATCCATGACAGACTCCCAATCAGTGAGAGCCAATTGCCACACTCCAGTAATCCTGCTGCCGCTCCCTTAGCTGAATGAAGGTCAAGTCATCTCTAAACAGTCCAGCTTCTAAAAGTGCTCATCTCCGAACCCCATGCTTCCCAAAACACTGTGTAAGACCACAGATTTCTTCGTTCAGAGATACTCTGCCCTATGGTGAACCTGTCTTTTGCTTAAGAAGAAATATATTCAGCATTTTTATTTGTTTCTTTCAGAGATGAATGGCAGCTTCTCACTGGACAAAGCTGCCTGAGATCTATGATCTGTCCACTCCACATCTGACTTAATCACCTCCTGCTTTCTCCTGTGCTCCTTTGACTCCTTGCCCTTATCTCTAGCAGGAACACTCCTGCCTCAGTGCCTTCTCATTGGCTGTTGCATCTGCCTTGTACATTCTCCCCTCGGATGTCCACATAGCTCCTTCCGTTTCTTACTGAGGCATCCCCAATCACTTATCTAAAAATGGTAATTTCAGCTCCTTACCCCTACTCTCCCTTAACCGCTTTATTTTGTTGTTCAGTAACACTTACCACCTTCTAACAAATTGTGGACTTACCTTATTTATTTTGTGTATAGTTTATTGTCTGTTTCTTCCCACTGGAAGTTAAATTCTATGACGACAAGGATGTTTGCCTGCTTTGTTTGCTAATGCATCCCAAGCACAGAGTAGGCACTCAATAACAGTTGTGGAATGAATGGATGTTTAATACGTCACCTCATTAAAATATAAACTGCTTGAGTGCAAAGACCTTGTGTTCACCACTGTGTATTCGTGCCTGGAGCAGTGCCTGGCACAGAGTAGGCGCTCCATAGATATGTGGGAAATGAGTGCATGGACAAACACTGGAAAAAACTATATTTTAATTGATAATGTAAATGACCTTGTAATTACCAAAGCCTTGTGTCATCCTTCTCCAGAGAAACAGAATTAATGAGCATACTTGAAATTCCTCAAGTTATTATGAAGTGTTAATCAAAATATTTAAACCATATTAATCACCATTTCACCATGGATTACATAAGTTAAAATACAAAAATGATTAAAATATCCTTGATAAACCTGGAGATGCAACAAGGTCACCCTCTTTTCTA